CAGTAATGTTAGTCATGAATGTTTGTCCTAAGTGTTGGCGTTAGTGTTGAAAAATAATGTTTGTCCTACATGAAGCCGTACAAGCGTTTGAATTTGTTTATGAATAAAATTACACTCTTGTTTTCTGTATCTATCATACAAACATAAGCAGCACCTGTTTTTGTAAAGTTTATATGAAGTTTTCGATAGTTAAGACCTGTATAATAATAGAATGCGTCTTCATTCTCAACATAGTAGTAGAACTCAAACGAATGCTTACCATAATCTGTTATTTCAACAGCTTCGTCAGATATTTCATCAACGAACTCATAAACTATATCGCCATACTTGCTTTTATTTCTATTGTTTTCAGATCTAGAACACCAACGAAGGTTTGAGATTCTGTTGTCCGTTCTATCATGATTTATATGGTCTATTTCTTTCAAATTGTTTGGATTTTCAATCCACTGTTCTGCAATAATTCTATGCTTTAAATGCATTTTGTTGTTTAAACTAAGCACAATATAACCATAATTATTTAAGCATTCACTCATAATATGTTTGTCTTTCTTTCGACGAATAGTAAAAGGATATGTCGTACAAATCTCATAATCTTCATGATTTCTCAATGTTTCCCATTGAGTTTGTTCCCCACTAACGTTCTCATTGACGTCCTCAATATCTTCTTCCTCACTGAACTCGTCAATATTTTCACTAGCTCCTTCTGTAATGTTTTCATCGGCATTGTCATTGACTTCTTCTGTAATGTTAGATGTTGTTGTTTCGCTCATGTTCTTTCACTAATGTTAAAAAGTTATGTTGTACGAATTTTGAACAGAATTTAGAGCAGTTATGAAACAATGAAGTATTTTTACGCTATTGAAAGGAACTATGAGAGTGAAGTACATGACAGCAATGACAAAAGGAACTAATATCAAACCTAATGAAATCGCTCACGAGGACATAGAGCTTAACAAGTATTTTGTGGAGTATCTTATAAGTGAAGAGTATGTAAGACCTTACTTCATGTTTGACAGCATGAATGAGGATGTTATTTCATGGTTAAAGAATATAAGCAATGTTTTCGGTAAGTACGTCATAGATGACAAAGGTCTTGTTGTATTTTATGAGACAGCAATACGAACACAGGAACTAATGGATATTATGCACTCAACAGCAAAGAAAGGATTTAGTACTATTGGCATGAATGAACATTGCAGGAATGACATATACAACCTATGCTCACGAAAGCCTTACACAAAAGCAATACAAATGATAGAACATAAGTGTCTAAGGTCAGCAAATGAAATCATTACTGTCAGTGGTTATGAAAGAACTGTTAGCAAAGATGAGTGGAAACAGCTATTCATATTAAGGAAGGACGTTGCTGAACTAGTTAAACCTGTTGCACAAACATTGTTTCAGATAAGACCAGCAATGACTAAGAACCCTTTGACCTTAGTCAATGAGACCATAGAGGTTGAAGATAATGACATGAAAGAACTAGGAATGAATGAGAGAAGTTGTGAAGGATGTTTGAGTCAAAACACATGGTTCTTCAGAGCTGTTAAGAAACTTAGTAAAGAACGACAGAAATATTTTATAGAGAAGTATTGCAAAGGATGTGTAAATGAATTGCTTGAAATAGAACTTAGAGACACTTTCACACTAAAGGACTTGAGGAGAAATAAGTACATGAGTGAAGAAGGTATTGACATAGCTAGTGTTATAAATGACTTAAGAAGATGTGTTGTCGTTATTGACGGAGCACGTATGACATATCTAGTGAAAGATTATGATGGAATACGAGACACAACAACACTTGTGTCAGTAGATAGCAAGGAATTCAATAAGCTCATGAAGAGTGTTTATGTAGGACGTATTGAAGAGAAGGATGTGAACGCACTGATGATTTATGAAGCGGGTCAGAACAAGAACTATCTTATGAAGTCAGGCATGAGATTCTTTGACGAAAGAGATGACATTTACAGCTATTTCAGAGGATATGAGTATGAGGTACTGAATGAAGTAGATGAAAGCATTATTGAAGGATATTTGAAACATGTTCACGATGTCATATGTAATGAGGATGAAGAGCTTTATGAGTATGTTTTGAACTGGTTCGCCTACATCGTTCAAAATCCTTGTGGAAAGACTGGAACAGTACTTTTGTTAACAGGAAAGCAAGGAACTGGTAAGAATGTACTTAGTAATGTTCTATGCGAGCTCATTAGCAAGTACGCCAACAATAATATAACGGCAATAGAGAATGTGGTTGGTAGATTCAATGCTGCTATTGAGAACATGAAGCTCATCGTATGCAATGAACTAAGCTCATGCGATACGTCTAAGGTCATGAACCACGACGCACTAAAGTCAATAGTAACAGAGACTCAGTTGGACTTAAATCAGAAGTGTCAGCCAGTAAGAAAGATAGAGAATGTTTGTAATATCATCATGATATCTAACAACTTCAACTCAGTAAAGATTGACAAAGACGACAGAAGATTTGTTGTCATTGACGTAAGCAGCAGATACAAAGGAAATTACGAATATTTCTCAAATCTCATTGAAAGCTTTAATGAAGAGTTTTATTCAAACTTACTGACGTACTTCATGAAGAAAGATTTAAGTGAATTTGATGTAAGGAAGATACCATTCACCAGGGCTAAACAAGAACTCATCGAAATGAACAAAACACCTTACCAAATGTTTTACGAGGAGTTCTATGAAAAGTTTGTATCCGGATGGAATTGTACAGAGTGCTACAGAAGATATAAAGAATTTGCGAAGGAGAATGAATTCTTTGCATGTAGTTCAAATGTATTTGGTGGCAAGATGAGAGAATTTGTGAAGAGAAGTAGAAAGCGAGACGGTTCTGCAAGAAGTTATATTTACGAAGCAAGTATGATATTAGAAGGTCGTGGAAAGAAAGAAACAGTGAATTATGAGGAAGTGCTTGAAAAATTCATGGAGTACATGGGAAGCAATATAACATACAACAAAGACATATACAGTGAGTTTAAGTACTACTGTGAACAGCATGAGATTGAAGTAATGAGTAAAGGAGACTTTGAAACGCTTATGAAAGACAGTAAGGAGGTCGTTCATGAGAACAGTGTTGAAATAGTTCATGAGAACAGTGAGGAGGTCATACATGAATGCAATGATGAAATAGTTCACGATGTCGTTCGTGAAGAAGCCATTGCAACAAAGAATGATATAAAGGATTTCATAGAACTTAACAAGGAGGAGTTTAAAGAAGGCTATGAAGTGAAAAGATGTGAAGAAGATTTCTTGGCGTATTTGAAGAAAAAGAGACTAAAGCCAATGGCTCAAAATAAGTTTCAATCGATGTTTGAAAAGAAACGTTTGAGCTATGGTGGTGTAAGAAGCACATATTACTTTGTTAAGAAGTGAGGACATTTATTTTTGTCGTTAGTGTTGGAGTTTGTGTTTGTTGTTAGTGTTTGTCATTTGTGCTGAAGTTAGTACTTGATGTTAGTGTTGGAGTTTGTGTTTGTTGTTAGTGTTTGTCATTTGTGCTGAAGTTAGTACTTGATGTTAGTGTTGGAGTTTGTGTTTGTTGTTAGTGAGAGAATAAATTAAATCATGAACTTTGCCATGGTCTCTGTCCCTAGTAGTTTTCATTAAGTTCTGGAAATAATGAAAGTCATAAACTTTGCCATGGTCTCTGTCCCTAGTAGTTTTCATTATCTCACAGAGTTAATGAAAGTCATACTTTCTATCAGATGAAGCATGCAGATGAACATAATGAAAGTTAGTGGTTTGCCACGAGTTATGAATAAAATATTGGCATATTAGATGAGATAGCTGATGAAACAGATGAAGATAAATTAAATCTTGGACTTTGCCACACTCTGTCCCTAGTTCCTCAAAATCCTTGACAACGTTGCTTAGAAATTTTGGTTCAAAACCTCATCTGATTTTAATCTGTTATGCTACCTGTTAAGTTTCGCGAGATTATAAATGTCATGGAGTTATATAAAAAGGAGGGCAGCTAGGGACACTGGAAGTACTTGTAAGGCTATCTGTTAAGATTGTATGAAATACTAAAAAGTCATGAAATCCATTATCGCTGTGCTAGCTTCACCTTGATTGAAATGACGACTAAAGTCACTGAAGCAATGAAACAAAAGTTTTTGGTAGAATACATTAAATCAGGAACTATTCCAGAAGGTTTTTACATTCATATTATGAAGGATGGTAGAGTTCAGTTTAGAAAGATAAAGCAACCATTAGATAAAGAAGGAATTTTGAGAAAGATTAAACTTCATGAGGACAACATTGCTGAACTTAAGAAGAAGCTAGAAGAGTTGGAGAAAGGAAGAGAGTTATAAAGCAATGAATTCAACAGGGTAGAAATGAGGTTAGAAATCGGGTTAGATCTAACCTTCTACCCTAAATTTATTTTTGTGCTATGTTTTCATACGTGTGAGGGTGGTGATATCATTAATTTTTAAGTTTATTTTTTATTTTATTTTTATTTTATTTTTATATAAATGACGAAAACTATTGAGATAACAAACTACAACGATCATGAGTTCAAGAATTTGTTCTTCGTTCCTCGTGAAAATACATTCTATCAGATACGAGGGAGAAAGGGTAAAGTTAGTTTGAGCGTTTATGACAACAAACATAATGGGAGATATATAAAAGCAATAGATACAAACGGTAAGCGTGTTTCATTAGCTTTGTCAAAACTTACTAACATTTATTTTGACAGTGACTTTGACTCTGACGATTGGAGCGACAGCAGCGATACTGAAGAATATGAACTATTGTGTGAAGCACAGCAATGGGAAGAGTTGCAATACTTTTGTAAGTGAGAACATTAGTTGGAACGTTAGTGAGAACGTTTATTTTTTCATTAGTGAAGTCTTTAGCGAAAATGTTAGTGAGGTGAAGTGGTTGGCGGCTTTGTAAATATTTAAGGTTAAGTTAGTGTTTGTGTTTGTGTTGTAAAATATACGTTAGTGGTTTTGTAAAGTGTCAAACCGTTATCTTGGGTAAGGTGGAACGCAGTGCCGCCGTACCCAAGATAGGGATACTAACTCAAATTCTTTAAAGACAGAGACACTTTTGTTATCTCGGTCTTTAATAATCTCTTTAACATCTTTCAAGATATTGTATTTCTTTAATTGCTTCAAGATGATTCGAGTTCCAGCACTTTCCATATTGTTGGAAGCTCCGGAATACTGAGCATGCTGTCTGTTTCCACCAATATGGTTGATGTTCACGCATGCAAGAACTCTTTTTGTGACAGCATCGAGCGCAGTTATTGTACAACTTGGCGAGTTTCGCCTGTGCGTCCATCTTGCATCAATGGATAAGTAACCACTGAAGGACTTTCTCGACAGCATTAGAGAAATACTTTTAAGTCTTCTAATCTTATCGTCACAAAATCTCTGTTGTCTCATGACACCACTCTTCACAGGGGGCTTAGTTCCACAAAGAGAAAGAAAGCGAGCACCTTTTGTATATGGCATTCCGGTCATTATGCAAGCACCAAGCATCTGTCGCGCTGAGAGTCGACGACGTTCGTGGAGTAAAATGTTATGCATTGCCTTTGTTTTCCGTTTTGGGTGAACAATATGGCCCATACAACAACAAAAAAATGAAATCCCGCCAAAAGTGAAAATTGAATAAAAAGTAATAATTAATAAATATATACTATATCATTAGATGAATATTTTGGAATAACATTTTTAAATCGAGGTTTTTCAATGGATAACGGTTCAATCAAAAATTTGACCCCATTTTAGAATCTACATTAAAAATGGAACATTTCTGTCTTTTCAAAATTCCAAAATAACGTTTCTATTCCTCTCAAAAGTAAAAATAAACTTTATTGGGGAAAAAATATTTTTATTTTCCAAAAAAAAATGAAAACCTTAAATGCAAATCTAATTTTGATGCTTTTGTTTGTGATTTTTTGGATTTCGAAAAAAATTTGAAAATTCAGACAAGTTACCATTAACACTAATACGTTTCAGCGAGTCGGTCCCATCAGAGAAATTTTCATAAATCGGCGATAAAATTTATTATTTCAGCAAAATATTCTCAGATCCAACTAGAATAAGGTCAAATTATACAAATTTAGCAAAGGCTAGTTATCCTACCTATTCAATTAACTTTAATTTTAAATAATTCAAGACAATTCTCAAAATTACCTTAATAATCGCGTTCTCTTCGCAAAATGACGATTCATCATTCACTACCAGCATAACTGAGGGCTTGTGCTCACAGAATAATACAGATAATTTACTTATTAATGCAAAATTTAGTACCAAAAGGTAATCATAGAAGATACAAAAAAAGTTTCTTTATTTTGATTGCTGATTTTATTTCTTCTAAAATTTACCAAATCTAAAAAATCCAAAATTGAATGCTATTGAATTTCATGTTTATGTAACATATACTATTTATTATATAAGGAATAAAAATTTTATAGTTTTAATCAAAAATAAAGGTGTACTAAATGCATACAAAACAAGGTATTTTTTACTCATCCAAAATATGTTAACAGTGCTATTTATATAATCAATATCCGAATTTCGAAATCATTTTGATGAAATCTTTATTTTAAAATTGAGTTGACTGTTAAAATCACCCGAAAGAGGGATTATCTCAATGAAAAGTACATAAAATAGCAAACGCACAAGATGGCACTATGCAGCTTTATATTGTTATACAGGATGAACATATAAAATGTTTGGAAAACACTTACTTCGTTCTACAAATGTGTATCTCTTTATATCAAAGATTCTTCTCAAATTATTGAGAGACTTCTCTCAAAAAAAGGAAAATTTGATAACTAAAAAAAATTATGGCATAACCTCTCGTTTTGCATAGATATATATTTACATGGTCACAGAGCTTATTTTCATTGTCAAAACTTAAAAATTTTTAGTGGACTATACCCTTAAGTTTCCATAAGAGAGGAGATTAAAATCTTAAATTAAATGCGTGTCAAAATATTAAATTGAATAGTAGTATATGTGGACGGGTTTAGTGACTTTTTTTGTTACATCTATATATAGACGATGCATTAAAATATATTTATTTATAAATCATTAAAAAATTAACATTAATTTTAAAATAATTTATTTTTTTATCTTTTATAAAAGAAGCTATATATAGATGATGTCAGATATTCCGCGATTAATTAAACATTGTTTAAATCCTGAATGGGTTAAACTTCAATTTAAAAATAAGAAGATTGTGAATTATTAAATGAATATGAAAGCCAAAATAAGCTAATGAGGTATAAAATATAATGATAAAGAATATTTAATTTCATGGAATCAATGGAGTCATAATCAAAGACCTCATAAACGAGAAGAAGAAATTGAAAATATAACGAAATGGAAATCATTGATGACATTAAAGAGGATGGAATTCCTAAATTTTGTAGAAAAACCTTTAGAATAAGTTAGGAGCATATAAACGTAGAGTATTAAATCCTGAATACATAAAACATTTATTTAAAAAGGAAGACTGTGAATTATTAAACGTTAATGAATAATGAAAATGCTAAATCAAAACTGAGATATAAATATTGGAAGTGATGAAAGATGCAAAGATAAAGATAAAGTTTATACAGTTTCATAATAACTGGCACACGTTAGGGATAAGAAAACATTTAGGAGATTATGGGAAATGTTCTGATTCTTTAAATCTAGTATGTATGGAGAAAGTAATGAAATTAGAAATAATTATTTTCATAATGAAAATAAACTTTAAAAATAATTGAAACTAATGATTATTTGAATTTATGAAATCAATTATATTGATTCATTCTTTCTTCAATCTCTTCTATTCTTTTTTGTTAAATCATCAATTTTCATTAATGAGGTGATTCTTGATTGGGGAATAGATTTCAAACTAACCACTCCTTTTATTTTTGAAATTTTGATCCATCAACTTTAAACATTTTATTCAATTTAACGTTGTCAATTCTTCAAATAATTTTTTATTATTAGCATAATAGTCATTAAATTCATCAACAGATGAAAAAATTTTTTATTCAGTAATTGGTTTAACAACGTTTTTTTTTGTTGAACATTTCCACTTTCATTTATTTCATCCTCCTTTGTTTATTTATTTTTAAAATTGGTTTTCATTTATCATTAAATAAAATTAGAATATAAGTGATGAATATATTTTTTAATTAATATTAAATCAGAAATGGCGGCAGGATTCTTTAAAAAATTATGGGATGGAATTAAGAAAGCTGCAGGTTGGGTTCATAAAATATTATTAAACCCGTTGCAAACTTTTTGGCACCAGTAGCGAAAAACGGCAGGAACTATCATAGGTGGAGTATTAGGTTAAAGCAGGTAATCCGGCGATGGGAGCACAAGCAGGTAACGCAATTGGTGGAATTGCTGAAGGAATACTTAATAAAATAGGGGTAGATAGTGGAAAATAAATAAATATTATTTTTATCTTAGTATTGGTTGTAGTCTTTGATAAACTTTTCTCTTTATTTAAAATTTCTCTTATTGGGGCAGCTTTTGGCGTTTATTGATTCAGCAATGTCACTAATTGCTTCTTTATTCTTAAATATCCAATTTGCTCCTTTCTTCATTGTTTCCCAAACTTTATGCGCTCCTCTTTTACTTTATCCCACAGTTTCTTAAAGAATCTGCAGCCATAGTTGATTATTTATTAAATTAAAATTCATTTTCATCTTTTAATTTCGATTTTTTATTTAATAATAAATGACGACTAACTATTTGTGCCAAAACACTAAAATTAATGGAAATGTGTTTATTCATTCGAAAAGATAAATGAAATATTCGCAAAGATGACGGTAGAAGATATTATAGAGAACTTGAAAGTTCATGCTATGACTCTGAGCTCCATATTTTGATGATAAACAAACTCATTTAAGAATTACAAATCGGCTCATGATGTGAACCAATTAGGTGACACATATATTAAACGCAAAGTTAAGAACAATCTAGTTTCAAATAAAGCTTTCACATGTGATGCCGCTTTTAAATGCATGCGTTTATTCGTTGGTTACAAATCATCAAATCAAAGCTTTAAACAATTAGAAGTAGAAACTGAAAGAGGTGATGCCGGTTATTTCAGATGGATTGCGCCCGTGAATCTTTCGCATTTGCAACATATAAACCGAAATCAGAAAGGAAAGTTAAAAAGTTTGTTCATTCGTTATATATAATGTTCAAAAATATGATAACTCAGTATGTGGTAATATATTGACCCTTCAGAAGTTTTCAAGAAAGCAAATGAAGAAGTTGATGTCACTTTTTGATATGATTATTCCGGTAAATGATTTGTTAGCATTTCAGGCGTTCGATGATTATCCTAAATCATTTGGTGATATCATTCTTAAATATTATGTTTTCAGGGATACTTTAGTATTTTGTCAGGTTGACCGTTAGAGTTGCTGATTTACAAAATTACGTTATGAAAAGATAACTGATGAAATTATGAAAAGATTATGAATCATGTTTATAAATATGATCGCAAATTCCAACAAATCGGACTTCCTGCCAAATTAATTACAAGCTTAGCCGCTACATCTGCTGACGCAACAGTTTGATGATGTTATTATTTCATGCACAAATGGAAGTTTTAGAGGATAAATGCATTACACACAGGATACGGTTTAATTGAAGAATCAGTTAAAGCAATACCACGTTTATTCAGTAAGGAAGATCCATTCATGATTCCAGCTCAACATATTGACGTTCGTTCACTAAATGGAGGTTGCATCACTCCTGAAGGTATCAGTTCAGATTTCTCATACTTTCATAATGTTACAGATGTTGTGTTAGCATTTCCGAAGAATGCAATGCAAAGAACAGTTTTAAGAAACCAATGCTTCGAGGTTTCAGGTCACTATAGATTCCAGAAACTTCCCCGATCAAGCGATGACCACAGTGGGTGACATATTCTTTACACGTATGCTTCAAAGCTTCTGATTTAGATGGAGTGAATGAATGCACAGAAGAATACGAGGACTCATTAACTAGACCACTGAATGATGATAATGGCACACCATTAGCTAGAACATGGAAAGACCAAACTTCATTCTTATGCACTATTCCAGTTCAACGTGATGGAGCGGGTATATTCTTTGATCGATTAGAAACTTTCAACTCACAAGTTACAGTACAAGTGAAGCTTATCCAATCATTCAGGGTGAAAATGACACTTACTGTTCAAAGGTGACAAATCCTCCTCAGGTTTGGTTTATAGGACTACATATTGGACATGGACACCGGACGAAGGTTTGAAATATCATCCAACAACCCACCAGTATAGAAGTTCATATGATGAAATATTGATGAATAGAAATGTATAAAATTATAAATTTATTTTTGATTAAATGGATTTAAATTGAAGAATTAGCGGGAGTATATATACATACGTAGATGATATGATTAATGAAGCATTGAGTGATAATAGAAATGCTCTATCTAAGGAAAAATTAATGAAAATTCCATTTCTGAATGTTACTTAAATTCAATCACTGCAGCAATTTGGTAAACAAAATAAAGGTAAAACATTAACGATATTAAAACAAATTATCATTATTGCTAACACTTCCCCCCATTCACATGTGTTAATTTATATCAACCGTTCAGGTTCACCTTCAGATGATACATTTGAATCTTTAAAGCATTTAATCAAAATTCAATTATTTATTTATCACAAGAAGAAGCAGAAGATATTTAAAAAACTTTTTAATGTATAAAGAATTATATAATACAATCAAGAAGCAAGGATTAGAGGATAAAATTATTGATAAACAACGGGATGAATTATTTGAAACACTTTCTATTTAAATTTTGATAGAGAATTTTTGCATTCACTCATTTTTCTAGATGATGCGGTGAAATCAAAACTAATAACAAATGAGAAATCATATTTTAATCAGTTATTAACTCAATGTCGACACATTCAGTGTTCATTCTTCATGCTGTTCAATACTTCAAAGCATTAAGCACAAACATTAAATCAAATCTATCAACACTTTTCATTTTCAGTGGTTTTTAGTCGTCAACAGTTGACGTTATGCTTTATCAAGTGAATTTACCAATGAGCATTAATGAACTTTACAACAATATCAACAATTAGGTGAACATGGAAAATAATAGTTGATTTAAATAAAGGAGGTGTTAAATTTGATTAACTTTTTATAATTATTTTTTATTTTTTATTTATAATTAAACATGACAGAAATAGCAAATCTTCTACAGGTTCCATTAAAACAAGGAACAAACAAAAGGGGTGCATATAATAGAACTATGAAAGTTCCTGATGGAATGAAAGAATTAGTTCATATTGTTGCTGGTCTTCAAAAGGATGTAAAACAAATGAGAAACGTTTTAACATTACCAGAAGCTCAAGCATATGCCAAACGTCATGGTCCAAATTGGGAAGCACATGAAGCAGACATTACAGGACCAAATGGAAAACCTGATGGTATAAATGAAGTTTTCGTTACTGATGGTCAAGGTAATATTAAAGTCATAAATGGTTATAAATTAACTGTATCTGATTATCCTAAACGTAAAGCATATAATGAACGTTATCCTATGCAATTTGATGAAAATGGAAAAGCTGTTAAACAATACATTGGAGAAGGTGAACATGGTCCAATTAATTCATACCGTCATAATCCATATTCTTATTTCAATGAAGAATTAAACGCTATTGAAGAAGGACCGGATGGATTACCACGATATGTTAATCAGTTTGATGGTCAATATGCAAATTTGAGACCTGAAATTCCAGCTAAGAAATTCTTTAAAGTTGCTTTATTCGATCCAGTGTTCAATGAACAGAAAGAAGCAATGAAAGCAGAATTTAAACCAATTCAAGTGGCAAGAATTTCTTCATCTTCACTTTCAGAAGCGTTCAAGGAATTGATAAAGAAACCACTTTATTCTCAACAAGGTTATAACTTTGATTTAATTAAAGAAAGTGATAGACGTAAATTAGAAAAATCAGATGGTTTTAAGAATGCATGTAATGAAATGATTAAAGATATTGTAAATGATAAAATAAGACTGGAAGAAACTCAAAGCAATATCAATAACATAATTGGTGCAGTTACAAAGAAAGTATAAGCAAACAATGATGAACCTTGGGATATTACCGTAACAACTAAATAAAACTTTAAATATATTTTTCTTTTTTATTCGAATATAAATGAGAAGACGTTTCACAAGTCAAAAGAACACTAACGCAAAAGCAGAGATTACGGTTGGTTATAACGTAAATGATGATAAATCACGAATTATTCAAAATGTTAAAGTTAATGTTAGCCCTGAATTAACAAGGTCAGCAACTCAACCAAATTTATTAACTCGTGACTTACCGAAAAAGGAGGAGGAGCAAAATAAAGAAGATGGAGACCCAATCATTTTATCTGAACCCGGTAAAGAACCTGTTGAAATTCCCACTTATCCAACATACCCCCCACCTCTTTCATCAAACATCGAGAACCCAGGAATCTACGATTCCAGTCGCAATGCGCCATATAAAATAGACATTAATTCAGAATTAATGAAAATTTACCGTGATATAATAACTGATAATTATGATTCAATAATAAATTTAATTGATCAATCCGGTTTAATTATTTTACCTTATGAATCATTAATTCACATTATCGCCATTCTTTGTGATGTTCAAGATTCAGACGTTAAGATTCAATTTTTCATAGATGATGAGGTTTCATGCTGCGGAACAGTTGCAAAAATAAATCCTATAAAGGATATTAGCACAATTAAGATATCAAAGAACGGAACAACAACTGAACTTCATTTAACATATAATGATATTTATAATAAAATAGTTGATGAATATAAAATATCACTTGAAAAATTCTTTGTTAAGGCTATTTAATATTCAAGCATTAACATTATTGAATAATAATCCTTTGAATCATAATCGATAATAATTGACCTTTCACCAGTTTCTATCGTTTGTTTTATTTCTTTTTGTTCCCCACTATCTGGATCGGTCATTGTAATTGTTTTTGTTATAGTATCAGCTTTATCTTTAACTTCAATCTTTTTTCCATCAGGATATTTAAACCAAAATTCCAAAAATTCGATATTGTCAATCTGTTCATATTTTAATCTATCAATTACATTTTTAATACCATCTGAAAATCTTATGAAATGGTCATTATATGGATTTGATTGAACTAAATTTGAATGAAGTGAAATATAACCCGATGATGAATATGACATCGACTCATATTTTCTGAAAACACTAAAATTTATAACATGAATGAATTTCTTATTCGTTGAATTTATGAATTCTTGAGGTAATCTTATTCTAGTTTTATTTATCACTGGAAAATAACGCTTTACCATATTTTTAATCGTAATAAAAATGTCAATTATCAATATTATTTCAAATAATAACTGTGAATTAAATTTAACAGTTAGCGGAATTTATAATGTTACTCTCGTTTCTGTGAGTGGTAAATTTAATCCCATTCTTTTAGACCCTTCAGATTATATATCATTTATCAAAGATGACCATGAAAAAACGTATGATATGTATATAAATAATGTGATCACGAAATGGGATATTAACACGATTTTAAGTTATTTAAACGAATCATTTATCATATGGTATGAAGAAAATTTTAAATCAAAACCCGATAAACTTTTTGAACTTGATGAAATAAATAACCTTATTAAATTTCCGCTGAAAATTAAATTTTGTACTCCTCATCTTCGTTCATTGTTGGGGATATTAAATTTTGAAAAAGATGTTGGGGATGTTTTGTATTCTGACACTGGTTCCAATTTCATTTTAATCAAATGTGATAAAGTTAATACCCCAATGAGATTTTCACATCAAACATTAGACCCTAACTCTTACCCATCAATACAAAACATTTTATCCATCAACTTAAACATATTTTCTTTATCATATCCGTTTCAATTATCCGGGAATTCATTTATTCTTCATTCAAAAGATTTATCAAATATTAAATTTAGAGTAACTGACCTATTTGATTGTGATTTAGAATTCATGAATGAAATATTATGGCAATTTCAAATAGAAAAAATAGCTGATGAGATAACGGATTAAATATTTATTTTTAAATCGTAATAAATGATTAAACAACAACAACCACAGCAACTTAAGGCACAGACCATTACATACGCCTTATATGCATATAATTCAAAGACGGCAGAACAAACGCAAAGGTTGAAATATGGAGATTTGGAAATAGTATTGAAAAATGACCATTTCGAATTCGTTTGCAAAGGTGGTGCAGTGATATCAAATATAAAAGAAATTTTATTTATGAATTCAAAAATTAAAGGTATAACGGATGATATAACATCAATTCCACCAGAAGAACAAAGATATTACGCATTAAATGCATTTCCTAAAGTTTTGAAGATTGGAAGATTTAATTTAAATGAGGAATTCATAAAAGGTTTCCTAAATGACATAATGAAGAAAGCAGATAAGGAATATGTCAACAGTGAATTAATGAAGAAAGCAGATAAGGAATATGTGACTAGTGCATTAATGAAGAAAGCAGATAAGGAATATGTCAACAGTGAATTAATGAAGAAAGCAGATAAGGAATATGTGACTAGTGCATTAATGAAGAAAGCAGATAAAGAATATGTCAACAGTGAATTAATGAAGAAAGCAGATAAGGAATATGTGACTAGTGCATTAATGAAGAAAGCAGATAAAGAATATGTCAACAGTGAATTAATGAAGAAAGCAGATAAGGAATATGTGACTAGTGCATTAATGAAGAAAGCAGATAAGGAATATGTCAACAGTGAATTAATGAAGAAAGCAGATAAGGAATATGTGACTAGTGCATTAATGAAGAAAGCAGATAAGGAATATGTCAACAGTGAATTAATGAAGAAAGCAGATAAGGAATATGTGACTAGTGCATTAATGAAGAAAGCAGATAAAGAATATGTGAATGAAAAAGATAATGAAATTAAAGAAATGGTTGGATGGTATCATGAATGGACATCAAAGATTTTAAAAACTAAAGCTGATACGGGATGGGTTTCAGAATGTTTAGACCTTAAAGCGGATAAAACATATGTCAACGATGAGTTAGAGAAGAAAGCAGATAAAGAATATGTGAATGAAATATACCAAAGTTTGATAGGAACAACTAAAAATATTGAAACTATTGCTGGTGACTTTTCCGTCTATGAAGAAAATAAATATTTTAGAGGGCAATTGGTACATTCCTTAAAAAATGGTATGCGGTGTAAACTCATTCCGAAAAATAACAATGAAATGTATGTAAGTTATAAAAAGAATGATGACACACAAGTTAAAGTTCCATTAGACAACAACTGTTACTTAAACTTATATGGAGACGAACAAAAGAAATATTTAAGAGTTTATGAAATGACGGATATGACATTGTCTAACGTAGCTCCAGCACCGTATTATTTCGACTATGGAGATGATGTCAGAACGCCGCATGTAGATGAACAAAAGCAAACATTATATTTAGATTATTATAGATATAAAAGATATAATGCAATAGAAAAAACGAGAATAGTATATTATTATATAGATGACAAAAATAAATATTATAGTCAAGATTTTACATACCCTGAAAACATAAGATTATATTATAAAAAATATTCTGACACAAACCAGAAGAAACCCGAAATAGTTACACTATATTTTAAGTTCAAAAGAGACAATCCTATATTATCTCATATGTTTGATTTAATGAACCCAGTAGGTTCTATTTATACATCTATGGATGTGAGAGGTCCTCAAGCAATGTTTGGTGTTGGTGCATGGGAACAAATAGTCGACAGGTTTTTGTATTGTGCAAACTCTTCAAAGGAAATAGGTGGAAGTAAAACGATTACAGGTGAAAATTTACCTGCACACAGTCACTACATAGATTTAAGCACATCTCAAGCAGGTTGGCATAAGCATAGATATTGGGATTGGTCAGGAATGACAAAAGGTAAAGGATATGATGTTAAAGATGACGTTAAGTTTGCCATAAATTGTTACTGGAGCGACACTCAGGGAGAAGGAAACCATACACATCACGTTTCAGGATATACACAAACAACGGGACAAAGTAAAGAATACATGCCACCATTTATGACTGTATTCGCGTGGTACCGCATTTATTGAATGAACTAAATATATTTTATGTCTGTAATTAATTAGGTAATGAAGTAGTGGATGAACTGCAGAAATATGTGTTATCGTTAATGTTTACGTCATGGTTTCAGGTTAGGCAGTTATGACTTATTTTTGAAGAACTAAAGGTGTCACTACGTCACTCAGTGTCACTCGGTTATTTAACTTCTCTGAAAAAATGAGACAACATGACATTTTGACAACATAGTGGGAAATGAGGAAGGCAGTTATGACTTATTTTTGAAGAACTAAAGGTGTCACTACGTCACTCAGTGTCACTCGGTTATTTAACTTCTCTGAAAAAATGAGACAACATGACATTTTGACAACATAGTGGGAAATGAGGAAGGCAGTTATGACTTATTTTTGAAGAACTAAAGGTGTCACTACGTCACTCAGTGTCACTCGGTTATTTAACTTCTCTGAAAAAATGAGACAACATGACATTTTGACAACATAGTGGGAAATGAGGAAGGCAGTTATGACTTATTTTTGAAGAACTAAAGGTGTCACTACGTCACTCAGTGTCACTCGGTTATTTAACTTCTCTGAAAAAATGAGACAACATGACATTTTGACAACATTTACGAAAATATGATGCAGTCCAAAAATAAAGTTAGTTTTAAAATTATTTTTATTTTTTTATTTCTATATAAATGACAGCAACAAACAACAGCAACAGCAACAGCAACAACAACAGCAACAACAACAGCAACTTGATCATTTCTGATGAAAAAGTTATTGATTCATTAGTTGAGGAATTAGTTGTGGCAGAAACTAAAGCCCTCAACGAAAGAATTGGTGAAAACAAGATTGATTTACATAACTACCTCAAACATGATGGAGGAAGAGGAAGGAAAACTGGTGTGGCTTTATTAGTAAATAAAATATCAAATTTAACGATTATAGATGTTGATATCAATAAATCATACAATGATGAACTTAAAGAAACAGTTAGAAAAGATATTTTATCAAAACTTTCGGATAAAGATGTTATCGTTAAAACCGCATCAGGAGGTCTTCACATTTATTGCAACACTAATTTCTTCTATGCAGTTTCGAACAGAATGATTAAATGTTATTCCTGCAATGATTATGATATTGATATCATGACTTCTATTGATGATTCAAAGCGTTCATTAGTGGTTATGGCTGATTCAAGAGTTCGAAAGAATGCATCAGAACCAATCAATACATACTCATTCATTCGTGGAAGTTATGATTCAACATTAACCAGAACAGTGAATGATATATTAAATGATTTGAATATTAAGGTAAGAGTTGAACAGAAGAATGAAGAAATAAAGAATATCATGAATGAAAACAAAGATGTAAACATTGACGATAAACTAGCTCAAAGCATAGTTGATGGCATCTGTGATTTTGAAGTACATAATGATGGTGGAAACATGAATTTAGAAAAAGAAATAACATTATTCACACTGTTTCAAGCAATTAATTCGTTACCTAATCATTTAATTAATGAAGCATACGATAACGTTTATAACTTCTGCAGTTTAACAGAAAATGCTAAAAGTAATTTTGAAAAAGCACGTAGTAGATATGCATATTTAATGACTTCTCCATTTGTTTTGGTGAAGATTCTAAAACTTTATCAAAAGGAATATTATGATGAATATGTTTTACCTTTATTACGTAAGCCAAAAATAACATTTGATATCAAACTTGATGACTCGTTTTTGATAACAGATATTAGACGCAAGGCTGAAAATCATCAGTATAAAAACAGTTCTGAAGTAATTGAGGAGTTATCACGTGTAATTCGTTTTGTAGATTGTGGAAACAAATATTTCATTCAGAAAGATTACAACATACACGACAAAATGAATCAAATATCATTTGTTCTTCAGTCAAACATGAAAGAGTCACTCAAAATGATTAAATTATTTAAAGAAGAAGGTAAAACAATAACAGCATGGGATGTACTATTAAATCAATTGTCTTCATTAACCGTTAAGGGTGTTTGCTTTAAATCTGATTCCCCAGATGTTTTCTCAACGTTTCAAGGTTATAAATACAACATTCTTGAAAAGCCTGATTACTCAAAAATTGAGATGTTTATGAATTTCATTAAAGAAGCCATTTGTGATAATAACGATGAAGTGTATAAATACCTTCTCGGCTGGATTGCATCAATGATTCAACATCCTGGAATCAAGAATGAAACAGCAATTATTTTGAAAGGACTTCAGGGAACAGGTAAAAACAGATTTACAGATATTATTTCTGAACTTCTCGCTGGTTATTCATGTAAAAACATTACTGAAATAGGTGAGCTAACGGGTAATTTCAACTCAGTTGTTGAAAATAAAATGTTTCTTGTACTTAATGAACTCAAGAATGTTGGTGAAGATAGACTCGCAAACTTCAACGCTTTGAAATCAATTATTACGGATAATGAGATTAGAATTAATGAAAAGAATCAACCCAGAAGAACAGCACAGAACGTTGCAAACTTCATTTTCGTAACTAATAACGTCTACCCTGTCAAAATTGAAGTTGGAGACAGAAGATACGTAGTTTTAAGGGTTAATGGTAAATTTAAGGGTCAATTTGATTACTTCAAGAATTTAATGGATTCATGCACTAAGGAATTTTATGATAATTTACTGACGTATTTTATGCAATATGACCTTTCATCATTTAATGTACGAATCATACCGATGACTGAAGCCAAACAAGATTTAATCGAGTTATCAACAAATCCTTTAGATGTATGGATAAATACACATTATGATGAATTGTGTGCAGGTATGACATGTAAAAATGCTCTATTCTGCAAACCATCAGACATGAAAGACAAAAACTTTCAAATGAGTATTAAGGATAAATGTGATAAGAAACAGAGAAGAATAGATGGTAAACAGACATGGCATTATGTTTTGAAAGAAGAAATGAAAGGATTATATAAACAGGTTGAACCAAACGATAATGAGGAATCATTTACTGACGATGAAATACCTGTAAATGAAGCTTTATAAAGTATGACTGGAATTTATTTTTGCATTAATCCTGTGATGTTGTCAAAATGTCATGTTGTCTCATTTTTTCAGAGAAGTTAAATAACCGAGTGACACTGAGTGACGTAGTGACACCTTCAGTTCTTCAAAAATAATTAATTATCGAATAACCCACTATGTTGTCAAAATGTCATGTTGTCTCATTTTTTCAGAGAAGTTAAATAACCGAGTGACACTGAGTGACGTAGTGACACCTTCAGTTCTTCAAAAATAATTAATTATCGAATAACCCACTATGTTGTCAAAATGTCATGTTGTCTCATTTTTTCAGAGAAGTTAAATAACCGAGTGACACTGAGTGACGTAGTGACACCTTCAGTTCTTCAAAAATAATTAATTATCGAATAACCCACTATGTTGTCAAAATGTCATGTTGTCTCATTTTTTCAGAGAAGTTAAATAACCGAGTGACACTGAGTGACGTAGTGACACCTTCAGTTCTTCAAAAATAAGTCATAAATACCTTCCCCTGCTGTGTTGTCAAAATGTCATGTTGTCACAAACTTTAGAACGGCATAATTTAAATTTTTATTTTTATCATAAATGAATACCCCACAAGCTCAAAATTTACCACGAATCATAACAAGGGAGGAAATGATAAAAATGATGCAAGAACATGTTAAAAATAACAAACCACTAAAACTGAGAAAATGTGGTTATGCAGTAATGATGGAAAGAGAGATGTTGTCGAAGAGGAATAAAAATTAAATTTGGATAGAGTTTAAAAATTCATCTTTATTAAATTCATCTCTTCCAATCAATTTATTTATTCTATTAAATTCTTTTATTTTTGCTTCACTCAGTTTAATGATTGAACGGTAAGTTTCTAATTTTTCGATTATTTCTTTATCGTTTTCAACCCCACCGCATTGCGACTTCTTTTTGTAATAGCATATTTTTGATTTAATTCTGTTTAGTTTCTTTTTATATTCATTGTCTGGACTCTTGACTGCTTTGTTGTCACTCATTTCTTACGAAATAAAAAAATTAAATATCATTTAAATATAATGGAGTAATAAAATAAATCGGAATTTCTATTAATTTCTTGTCAACTTCAACTAATACATTACCGTTAATATATCTAACAAATTCAGCTATTGTGTCAAATCTTCGTCTTCTTTTTGTCATTGATTTATCAGTTTTTCCATAATCGAGATGAATCAAAACTTTATCCCCTTGTTTAAAATTCATGAGCCCCGAATTAATTTGTTCACGTTTAACATCATTTAACCTTTCCATTTGCTTTCTAATATATTCCCATTCTTTTGAAATATCATTTTTCATTTCCACTGGTTTCATGTTTATTGTTCTATGCCATGTATTATTGTAATAATATACTAACTGTTGTATGATGGAGTCATGATTTCCATCCCAGTATATCTGACCGTTAACCCCTAACGCATCTCTAAGAGTTCTCATTACCGCATCAACTATTTTATTATGAAACGTATATGGAGAGGATGAAAAGTAAAAATTAATTTGTGGGAAATAATGAGCCATAGCTGCCTGAAATCCTTTATCACCATCACCCCTGATATTATCTACTCTTTCATGATCTAGTAAGTATTGAATAGCTCTTCTTGTTTCCTGTTCTGTTTTCCCTTTCACTGGAATGCAATATAAATATCTAGTGTTAATGTTAATGGCAAATAAATAAGTAACTTTTCCTTTTGAATATTCCAGATGATCGATTTCGTATGAATATGGATATGGAGCAAATGAAGGTCGACTAAATTTTTCCTTTAATGGTTGAATTTTCGGGTCAATTGGTTTATTTAATATCTTGAAATCCTTTTTAAAATCTTTTTTGCTTCTTTAATGTTTGAAATGGATATAATAAAGTGAATGATGAAGGATTAACTGAAGGAGGAGGCGGTACTGTCGTTGGAGGTTTAATTTTATCTGCTTTGATTTTGGATTTCATTCCTCCTTTCATTAATTCTGGATGTATTCTATTCATTTGTTTTAAATTGCTGTATATAAAGGTTTGATATACTTTCCGCTTCGAGTTTATGTTGAAGGATGAATTCCAAAAGTTGATCTTCATTTAAAAGTCGGGCTGAATAATGGTTTAACTAATGAATCATAAATTAAAGCTTGTGCATCATTTATGATCTGAAGGACCTGGGCGTTTTGTTCCTTTGTTTTTTGCGGCTCAGGATTATATAATTTATATATATTCATCAATATCTTCTTCTGTTAATACTTTATTTTTGAAATCTTTCAACTGTTTAAGTTGTGATTTAGTTTTTCCCTTTGAATATTCATTATTTTTAATTTTGTCTTTAATTTTAGAAATTATTTTTATCATGATATTTCAAAAATTCATTTTTATAATATGGATAATAATATTCCATATCATCACCCGTTATATTGTTATCATATTTTTGGAGATATGCTTTTAAATCATAATAATTAAGAAAATTTTGATTAAATACTAAATCATCAATTAAATTTTTTAAATCTACATTATCCATTTATATAAAAATAAAATAAATGTTTTAAGGGTGCCCACCTCTTTGATCAAGAATCAAAACCATCATTAACGGTTCCTTTTGTCTCTTCTGTGGCATTTCATTAAATAAATGGCATACAACATCCATTTTCACAACATACAGCCTTAGTGTGTGCTCCTGTTAATGCAGTCTTACCAATTGTTAAGCGAGTCATTGACCCGTTTTTAAGTTGTAAATTAATATTCTGACCATCAAATATCACTTTATCATTTATTATATCCAAATAATTTTTAGGTGTTAATTGTTTATTTTGTCGTAAACTAACACCTTTCATTTTTTGTGCAATCTTTTTAAAATCACCCCCATCAATTGAACCGTTGAATGATGTATAACACTTAGGACATAAAGCAACCATGTTATCACCTTGTTTCTCAATTGCTAAACCCAATAACTTCTTCTCATGTGCTTTTTCTTCAGCTTTATTCTTTAATTTAGGTTTAAATTTCTCATCAAAACAGAAGAAATTAAAAGGTGCGAATTTGAAAATGTTTTTATCATAAAATTGTTTATCGGTAACAATTGCTTGAAATGCTTGAGTGTTAGGAAGATTTGGATCGCCAGCGATTGCCCAATAAGATGAATCAGTATCACCTTCAATGAAATGAAAACGATTAACATCCATGCATTTATACATAAAATCATAAATGAAAACCAAATACCAGTATTTAGCATTATCTAAAGTGAAGAATGCCTCTTGTAAACATGTATCACATCTATAAAAATCTATCTTTGAGCATCACTTGATATGTATCCTCTCCTATTTCTCTTATGTTTTTAAACTTATTTGACATACATGCAACGCGTGCCTTCTGTGCATTCATTATTTTAGTCTTTGTGTAATTTTGTGTATTCATTGCATCGTAACCATATGATCCATTAAGTGAAATCTTGCAAAATAAACTTTTTCCTTTATTTCCTTCTAATTCAGCCTTTTGTCTTTCGTTCATAAATTCGTTCGCAAATTCATTAAAGCAAGTGTTTTTAGTAAATGTTAAAATTGATTGAATGTCATCGATGATAAAATGAAATTTGTCTATTAGATACCAAAGATAATAAGAAGAAAATGGTTGATATTGGTTGTGTGTTGATGCTAACTGAGTTAATTTTCTCTGTTTCTGGTCAACCGGTAGATTGTTTGATTTCATGTAATTATACATAAAACTACCAATTGTTTTTTCATCTGTGATAATATCTAAGTTTCTTATTATCGGTAAAAAGTTTATGTAATCATTAATGTATTTTTCATCAATGTGACCCTTTACTTCAGCCACGAATAAAGTATTTTTTTTCTAATAATTCCCAGTGCTTTTGCTTTCTTTGTTGCTGTATCACAAATGATAACACCATTCAATCTTCCCGGCATATACATTTTATGGTCAGTATATTGAATGAAATCATGAGGATTAGATGAAAATGATGAAGGATATAATGAATTAAAATCAACACCAACGAAATGAGTCATAATGTTGGTGGTGTCCTCATTTGATACAGTTTTAGTTTCTGGATTATATGAAAGTTTATTAATGTGTGTGATTCCTTTAAGATTAACACGATGTTGAACATTTGATAGACCACCAGTAATTCCATTACGGAGAATGTGATAAGCTTCAACTGAATCTAAAGTCATTGGTAAATTATTTTTTAATGCATAATTTCTTAAATTGATTCTTAAACGTTGAACATCTTCATCTTTATTTGATTTTACGACATTGCAATAACAACACATTAACTGACAATTTTCTTTGGTATGTGGTTTTTCATTATCGATTCTATCTAATGTTGGTTTATTTGCATATGTAAACGCTTTACCACACATTTTGCATTTAGATGAAAGGATTAAATCGTGATAGTATTGATAGTCATCCATTGAAACATTGTTTTTAGTATCCCTTTCTGCTTTTTCATCTTGTTTCTTATATGATTCAATTTTATATTTCCAATACTTTTTCGTTAATTCAAAACTTGATTCCACATTTTCTTCTTCTGGATATGTTTCGTTAGGATTGAAGTTCTTATATGCTAACGCGTAACGAATCATTGATGCATTCGATGATAAAGAAAGATTATGAAGCATGTCAATTTTATAAACAAATGTTTCTTCGATAATTTTATCGATTGGGTCAATCATAATTTCAACGTCTTTATTGCAATAATGAATAAAATATTCTAATCTATTCTCAAAATTTTTAGCATCATTGAGATATATTTGATAATCTGAATCGGATATTGTTTCTTGAGTTAATGCTGAATAAAATGAATCTTGAGTGAATGGTTCCTTTTTATATAATTCATCTTCGTAATTTTCCCATGTGATGAATTGATAAGGGAAAAAGGATTTAACACGTGATTTATTGTTTCCGAAATCTTGAGTGAATTGGTCTAATGTTCCACCCGCTATATAATTTCTGATGTCAATAAATCTCAATTCATATGGAACGTTTGTTTTCTTTACTATGATTTGCTTAAATTGTGAAGATGAACCCAGTATTGATTTTATTTTCCATTTTGCAGTGTTTAAATCACGAAGAATTAAATTTAAATCAAACTTTCCCGAATTAAAACCTATGATATTCACTTTATTAAATTCTTCATCTAAAAGCTCTTTAAATGCTTCCTTCTGTTTCTCATTTAATGTATGAGACAAAGTCCCCACCGTTTGCGGCTTCATTAATTCTTCATATTGTTCAATATTTGATTTAGCAACTAATGAACAGGTTGAAAATAAAAACTCAATCCAATCAGAAATAAAAGAATCACTCGAAGTTAAGCAAAAATTCCTCGTAAATGTTTTATCACGGTCTACGACCTCGCCGCTTTGCGGCTTTATTTTAACCGTTGATGATACCATAAATGGTTTTAAGTAAGCGTTCAAAGTTGCACATTCAGAAAGTTGAAGTTCTTCTTTAGTCTCTAATGTTTCGAAGTCAAAAGTAATATAATATCTTGTCGGTTGATAATATTCCTGCAAATTATGTGCTAATAGCCACTGATATATCTTCTGTTTCGTGATATGTGGTGTATATGGTTGTTGTGTGTTTTGCAATTGAACGTCTTGAATTAATCTTCCATTATTTTCTTTACATTTCTCACAATGTTTTAAAAATCTTCTTTGGTTTTTCCTTTCTGGATCATCACGGATAGAATAAACTTCTTCTTTGCAAAAGGGGCAAACTTTATATCCTGTGAGTGCTTCAACGTCTGTTATTCTGTCAGCATGAAGTTTTCCACATGGACTCTGTGTTAATAAAATATTTACTGTTTCAAATTCTGGATCTATCATTATTGATTCCACTAATGGAAAGTCTACCTTGTTAATGTCTACGTCTTCTGGTTGAGGGTCACAATAATAAAAATCAATATTAACGTTTAACATTCTTGCTAATCTCTCACTTTCTGATGAAATGTCAAACCCCTCATATACATCTATGGCTTCGTTTAAATAACTTCTACGAGTTTTAGGATTAACACCATCAGGAATGTTATAGAAGCGTTTAAATAACCTTCTACCTTCGGCTCTTATTTGATTATCATTCATTTTAGCTGTTCCATTTTTGTTCATTTATGTAAGAATAAAAATTAAAAAAATAAATAAAAATAAAGTTTATTTTTTAAAGCCCGAGACTCAGAGAGTCCAGGGCTAAAGTCCATAAAATGAATTAAGAACACATAAATTTTTATCATCTGCGACGTGACGAATGCATTTTAATTTACTCAAGAATGCATACCCTGATACATTAAATCTAATTCCTGTCTTATTTAATTTCACAACTTTGAAAAGGAATGTATGAATAGCTATAAAATGATGAGATGATGTTTTATGGGTTGCTTCCATTTTTTCTGAAATAAATGAATAAATATAATGTTTATAAGTTTTCATATCTTTTATGTTCTTAATAACGAATGGTATAGACCTTTCCACTTCGTCTTCCTTCGGTGCTGTTCTTTCATATGAAACATTATTGGTATCTTCAATAATGAAACCACAATCGCATAAAATTTTATAGGTTCCAATGGTTTCTTTTGATATTTTATCTAACAAATCAAAAACTTTATCAACACCTGTACATTTATTTAAATAATAATTTGTGTAAATATCATGGTCTTCTTTCTTAATCGTATTTGTTGCATATGTCACGTTTTTAAGAGCTTTTTTGAATTTTTCGGAATCTAAAGGTGGTGAAAGTAGGATACAGGGGTATTCTTCATTATCAATAAATTGTAACTTATGTTTACGAATAAATTTAGTACCTTCTTCTGAAAGTGTTTCGTCTATTTCACCATCTAATAAATTTTGTGTTGATTCCAAAAAGTAATTTTTATATCTTTCTTCATGAGATTTCTGAACTTCTGATTCTGAAGCTGGGATATTCATTAAACCCTCTACTTCATTCTCATTATATTTTTCAACTTCTCTTAATTCCTTAATTTTTTCATCTATTTCATCTCTTATTTTTTCCAGTTTTTCAATTTCATCGTATTCATCATCATCTTTAATCCGTTCTTCATAATATTCAGGGAAAACATCAGGTTCTTTAGGTTTTTCTTCTTCAGATGTGGGATATAAGAAATTTATAACATCATCTTTATTCATTTTTCCATCATAATCAAACTCATTTAAAAACTCCGCGAATTTTTTACAATTTCTTAAATAATATTTATCAACTTCATAACCTGCCTCCTCTAATATATCCTTTATTTCCTCATTTGTGAATCCCAATTTTTTAACGTTGTTAGTTTTGACGCTCATTTCATACAAATTAAAAAATAAATTATTCAAAAATGTAAGACATGAATTTCTAATTTCTTTCATTCATGAAAATAATTATTTCTAATTTCTTTTACTCTCTCATACATACTAGATTTAAAGAATTCAGAACATTTCCCATAATCTCCTAAATGTTTTCTTATCCCTAACGTGTGCCAGTTATTATATGAAACTGTATAAACTTTATCTTTATCTTTGCATCTTTCATCACTTCCAATATATTTATATCTCAGTTTTGATTTAGCATTTTCATATTCATTAACGTTTAATAATTCACAGTCTTCCTTTTTAAATAAATGTTTTATGTATTCAGGATTTAATACTCTACGTTTATATGCTCCTAACTTAGTTCTAAAGGTTTTTCTACAAAATTTAGGAATTCCATCCTCTTTAATGTCATCAATGATTTCCATTTCGTTATTTTCAATTTCTTCTTCTCGTTTATGAGGTCTTTGATTATGACTCCATTGATTCCATGAAATTAAATATTCTTTATCATTATATTTATACCTCATTAGCTTATTTTGGCTTTCATATTCATTTAATAATTCACAATCTTCATTTTTAAATTGAAGTTTAACCCATTCAGGATTTAAACAATGTTTAATTAATCGCGGAATATCTGACATCATCTATATATAGCTTCTTTTATAAAAGATAAAAAAATAAATTATTTTAAAATTAATGTTAATTTTTTAATGATTTATAAATAAATATATTTTAATGCATCGTCTATATATAGATGTAACAAAAAAAGTCACTAAACCCGTCCACATATACTACTTTGAATACCATTCAAATTCATTCATTGTTTTATTACATTTGATTATATATATGCTATTGAATCAGATCGAATTAAAATTAAAATGTTTTTATCGGTAGCGTAAAAATTTTTTATAATTTCATAATAAACGTTCGGGAAATAGTACCTATTATTCACGCATTAAGAATTGGATGGAATTTACAGTGAGTTCAGAATTCTGATGTCATTTCACTTGCCCACTCCACCTTATAACCGTGATCCTTTAAAAATATACTTCTATATCTGCCACCCTAAACTTAGTATATTCCAAATAACGGTAAATCAATATTTTAGAATAAAATATTTTCAAATTGCCTCTCATATGCGGTTAATAATTCAAAAATATTTTATAAAAGCCTAATAAGATATATCTCTTCGTAAAAAGTGCTCATAATGGCTGATGAAGATTATAAAGAAAATTCAGAAGAACCATTATCGAAAAATAGAGAAAATTTAGTAGACGTTGATGATTCATGTGAATCTGTTTATAAATTCCTCGAAGCATTCGCTGCAAATGAAGAATATTTCGATAAATTCCAACAAATTCAATTCCAAATGAGTCAAAACGAACTGGATTTAATGTTATCATTCTTTTCAATAGCAGAAAATTACTTTGATACACTCGATGAGACTCAAAACGCATTAATCATTTATCATATTTCTGAATTCACTTTAAAATTAGCATCAATCAAAGAGTATGCAACAATGATACTAAAAATTAAATTCCTAAGACATTTTTTTACAAAAATATTTGATGATGAAATAACAATCAACGTTTTACAGATTGTAGATCTTTTAGTACAAAACGCAGAAAAAGGAGACCTCAAGAACATTGTTGAACAAAGCTATCACATACAATTAATGTACGTTTTTGAAAGATTTCAAGATTTTCAGGTTCGAAAGAATATAATCATAATTTTACTCAACTTATTTACTTTTCTTAGATCATCTGGCGAAAAGTTCATCGAATTTTATGAATTCACTCAATTATTGCATTTATCAAATATTATTCTTGAATCAAATGATACAGAGGCCTTAGCATTATATGTTCACCTTTTGTCAAGCGTATTTTCAGTACTCGAAGACATCCAATTCGTTGATACTGATATTCAGCAAATTTTTTCTTTATTTGGTATTTGTAAACAACAACAACTTGATGTAGAGATATTTGAATGCATAACTTACGTTATAACTCATCTTGAACCCGGTTCTGAAATCCCTGTAATTAAAGATTTTATGAATATTCAAATTTTACAGGACTACTGCAACAAGCCAATTGAATTCCAAATTAATGCATTATTAATCATATTTAAGTACTCCACATTTGTATTTAAATCAAAAACAGAAGAAAAACACGTTGATTACATTTTTGAGTTGTTATACGTTGTTTCTTACACTTTTGATTGCTTGAATATACAAAGCAAGCTAAAATTGGTTCCTTTGGTCAAAGAATTGATTGAAACAAGAAATATTGATTTAATTATTGAATTATATAATATTCAATTAATACAACAAATTTTTGATTTGCTTGAGACTGATTTGAAAGCACTTGCAAAGGATATTTGTCGAATGATGCTTTGCATCTACCAAACTTGTAAAGAAGCAGGAAAAATAGAATTTCTGAAAAATTTATTAGAAGAAATGGACTGTTTGAATGTTATTGATGAATTTATTTCATCCAGTAATGATGATGAAACATGTAATAGATTTTCTCAATTATTAACATTAATTGAAGAAATTCAGCCAGCTGAATAATGCTTTATACTTGTTGATTTAAAGATTTATTATACATAACTTTCCTTTTTTTAAATACTCTCATCATTCGTTGTTTACTTAGGATAAAGTTTACTTACTTCAAGAGCTATGTATAAAGCAAGTGCCATAGTCATAACAAATTCTGTTCAAAGAAAAGAATTACCAGATATTGGTATCACAATTCAAAATTTAAGTCAAAGGGGAAAATGCAAGCTATATCACTTGGCATTCGATTCCAATGCATATTCATATCAAGGATCTAAGTTAATGTTCTTTGTTGTCATGATTTCCAAAATTATCAAATGCTAATCAAGCCAATAAATCAATGTAATGGCATTATTTTTTAACAGGAATCAAATTCTCACATTATTATGTTTATATCATGTATATTTCAATCAGAATTTTATAATAAATTAAATGCAACTGATAATTTACAGAGAAAATCTTCAAATTAATAGATGTATATCATAATGGCATTACTTTTATGAATTTTGAAAAACTGGACGTTTAAAGATTTTAGAAAGTTTGCGATGCAGTCTAGACTTAACGAGTTCGAGAAAGTCGAAGACTACTTCGAAGCATCAAACAAATCATATGAAGCATATATTGCATCTCACAAAGTATCGAAAAGGAAATTCTTAATCACCAAATACAATTTAGAATTGTTAAACGTGCAGCCAAAGCTTTTATATAATAGATTAATGTTCTTAATCAAAAATTATAGAATGTTCAGATGTGAATGCGTCTTTTTCCAAGGTCACCTCGCTAGTTTAGAGGTTTTAAACCCAAAAATACTAGGAAAATTTATCAAATACTTTTACGTTGTGGAACCATTACCAATGGTTACACTTGCAGATTTTGCAACGGAAAATCAGATGTCAAAATCTATATTACTCGAAAAATTACCAAATTTATTGTCAACAATAGCGATGATGCATTCAGTTAAGTTTGCATATCTAAATATTTCGCCATTTACAATCATAGTTGATGGTGTTTTCTGGTTACGGCCTCCATCATTAATGCCATACTCATCTCCAAAGAATTGTTTTGCGCCACCACCTCAAGGCTTCCGTGCTGAATACAGATCTGTCAATGAAATGAGATTTTACCGTGCTCCAGAATGGAATGCAAATCCAATGTTTTGCGAATCAGATTGCTGGTCACTCGGTTGTTTATTAGCAGAATACATGATATTTGCTGGTCCTCTTTTTGGATCAATAAGTATCAATGATCAAATGGTCAGAACACAAATGATTTGTGGTCCAGCTCCTGCATTTTTGAATTGGCCACCAGCTCCTCAATCAAGGAAGACAGTATTTCCACCAATTATAGCAGATATGCTAAGTTATGATCCAAGAAAACGCCCATTACTATGTATTCACGTTTCAAATCAGATTTTGCAATTTATTAGAGATTATAATGTTGGTGAAGAGGAAGAAGAATTTGAAGAAGAAGAGGCATCATATGGAGAAGTCTCTATCGGCGAAAATGAAGATGATGATTCCCACATTTCAGGAATATCAGCAACTGAGAGCTCTAACATAGAATCCGAACACTCTGATAAATCAAATGCTAAAAGTTCTCATTCTTATCCAGTTTATGCTGCCCCCTCTCAGAGCGGTGAAGAAGAAGAGGATTTACTCCAAGAGAAAGTCGATTCACCAAAAGGCAGTCAAGGAAAATCTTCTCAAATATCCAAATCAGTATCTCCAGATGTAAATCAAATCTCCCCTATAACTAGCAACACATCAGCTGTTTCAACTCCATCTCAACAAAAGAATTCTTCTTCACAATCTCAAGCTAATAACAGCTTAAAAGATTCACCAATTACTAGTAACACATCAGCTGTTTCAACTTCATCTCAACAAAAGAATTCTTCTTCACAATCTCAAGCTAATAACAGCTTAAAAGATTCACCAATTACTAGTAACACATCAGCTGTTTCAACTTCATCTAAACAAAAGAATTCTTCTTCACAATCTCAAGCTAATAACAGCTTAAAAGATTCACCAATTACTAGTAACACATCAGCTGTTTCAACTCCATCTCAACAAAAGAATTCTTCTTCACAATCTCAAGCTAATAACAGCTTAAAAGATTCACCAATTACTAGTAACACATCAGCTGTTTCAACTTCATCTCAACAAAAGAATTCTTCTTCACAATCTCAAGCTAATAACAGCTTAAAAGATTCACCAGAATTGAAGAGTGACGATAATAAATCAGTAAACTCCAGAAAATCTAATGGATCAAATTCATCAAACAAATCTCTTCCTAAATATGCTTCTGGAGAAAAGAAATCTAAGAACAGTAGTTCTGTAGAAGAAGATAGATTGGATTCACTTGGAAGTAATCATGATAGTCCAGCTTATGCTTCAGGAGTAATAGAAAGCGATCATAATTCAGTTAAATCTCATTCTTCGCATTCATCAAGACATTCATCATCATCCAAGCCAAGTTATGCAGTTAACAAAGTTCCTTCTGTTAAGGAAAAGAAGATGAATTCTGATGCATATGATTATTCATCTTCACATTCTACAAAACTTGCAATGGAAGAAGATTACGTTGACAATAAAAACAGTACTAAAAAAGTTCAGAAGACTAAAGTACTTACCTCCAAGACTGAATCAAGTGGAAACTCCCATGTAACATTTTCAAGCGGAAATGCTCAATTTTCAGGAAAAAGTGCTTCAAGTCATCAATACACATATTCGTCTAGTACAGATGTCCAGACAGAAGCAGATGCTCTAAGAGAGAGGATTAAAATTCTTGAAGCTCAGCTTCAATATCAGAGTTATTCAGAAGAATCTATCAATTCTGATTCATCTCTTGATCCAACTGAAATTGTTGAAACAATATCAAAGCTTAAAAGAGATCTAAATGCAATGGATAGTGGATTATTATCCGGATCATGCGTTGGATGTGCAACTGGTACTGACTTAGAAAACAGCTTGTCTAAGCAAGAAAAGATACTTGATGCTGCTGATGAAGAATTGAAATCGGATTAATTTTATTAATTTTATTAATTTTTTTGAAATTAAAATGTTTTCTTTATTTAATTAATTACTGTTTATATGAAGATTTAGCAGTTCTATATATTGCATTGTCAGCTAATCATCATCTTCAAGAGTTTATTTCTTATATTCTCTTGGATTTGCTTTGATAGGAAGTGAATTCGACCTATTCAGATCACCAACAACAATGTTTTTGAAATGTTTATCTTTGAACTATATATATTCATTGGTGTGGCTGACAATTAGTAAATACTATTTTTATGATTGATGAATGTATAATAACCTATTTATTCTAGAAAAACACAATATTTTTTTTAATTGCAAATTATGCCTAACTCAATCAGGGCATAAACAAGTGATAAGCAAAAGATAGATAGAGTATAAAGTGTTTTTTATTGTCTTGCTATTCATTTGCTTTTATAAAGGCCAAATAAAGAATTCTTCAAATGCATTTTATCAAAGTATAAAAATGTTAAATCATGCAATAACAATCATTAAACTTATATAGCATGATAGTTTGTATTGATCATATACACGATATAGTATAATGAAGCAGAACTACGAAGTTGCGACAGAATGCTTCCCCCCATCTGCCTCAATAGGAGTTCCAATGCCCCCAATTTTTACTAACTGGAGTTTTGGAGCTCCTAAATCGGTATCATCACTTGCCATTTTCATTTGAACTGCAGCTGATGAAAGATGAGAAACCTATCTTCAAGCTAGGAACTCCAAAACTCCTTGTCTCTATGAATGGTATCATTGTAGATCCTGAATCCCTTTCAAAAGATACCATGTCCAGTATGGGTTTCTGATGATCAATGAGTGTTTTCCATCTCAGGAGCTTAAAAGCGCTTATTCTTTACGAATTGGTGTCTGAAGGTCATGAAATTCATTCATTGGAGGCAATCCGCATGAATAGCTTTGATGATCAATTCGACCAATCCAGGCTCAGAGTGTAGGAGCCCCAGTGCTCCCGATCCTACGAAAGGGATCTTTGGGCTTCTGATTGAATCTCAACACATCCCTCTTATCATATGGGCATTTGATTAAATGAAGAAAGCAACTATGCTGCAAGCTAGAGGCTTCGAAGCTCCCAATTATTACGGAAAGGAACTTGGAGCTTCCAAAAAAAACACTCAGCAGAGGCATTTGAAAGAAAATATTCAGCAGAAAAGATCTCTCATTCAACTTCAGAGTTCAGAGCACTAAATACCCCACACCTTACAATTGGAGCTTTGTAGTACTAGATTTCAATCAAAAGATGCAATAATTGCATAATCTTTGTAAAATAGAGCATGATAGCTCTCATGAGTCTTAAATCTATCATTGACTGTGTATATAAGTCTAAAAACGAAATATAATCATTCTTATCAGACATTTTAATCAAATTATTGTTCAAATTTAATGATTAATCAATAAAACCATGCCATTCAGTCCCAATCACATAAATAAATCCTATCACTCTTTTATTTTATGGAAAATATTTCGATTTTTAAGCAAAAATTTAAAAAAATCATCAAAAAAAGAATAAAATTTTACTTTTGAAATATTTCCAATATTGATATTATGAAAATGGAAAATTTCGGCAGATGCTGCCCAGCAATCAATGTAGTCAAAAGCAATTGATGAAACCATCATGGGGCGAGTTCTGTCTCAATGCTATCATCTTAATTTACGTCTTCCTTAAGTTAATCCATCCGTTTAAGAACAAGTGGCGTGGCTACATTCCAGTTGTCTTCACTTTCTAATTGTATATGATTTTTTTTACTGAATATTTTTTTTGAAATATGGAACGATTATTATGAATTGAATTTAGTTCATATGAAAGGGGGTGAATATATTCAAAAAACCAGATTAGAGTCAATATTTATTTATAATATAGATAATAGATTTAGGATTCATCATAATAAATAATTTTAATTCATCAGCGGTTTGGCCGGTCCTTTTCGAATGTCTGAGGAACAACAAAAGGTTCTTGCTCCAAAGCGTGAGTGCGGTCTTCACTCATCTGGCAAGCGTGTTAACTTCGCTCGCAAGATTGTCCACGAACTTGTCGGCTGGCAACCATACGAGCGCCACACAATGGATCTTATCAAGATCGAACGCCGCCGTGCTGCTCGTCAATTCCTCAAGAAGCGCCTTGGCACACACCGCCGTGCTATGAAGAAGCTTAACACTCTTGAAGAAGTTGTTCAGGAAGAATCTCTCCACCACCACCACGAGTAAACCTGCTTTTTATGAAACAAATACAAATGCAAATTATACGAAACTTCCAAAGATATCAAATACAATAAAGTACCTTATAAAAATAAATATGATTTCCATAAGGGTGTAGTCCATTTTTATTTTTGAATTTTAATAATGGAAATAATATGCTTAACCTATAACATATATGCATGCAAAGGATTATGCTTCGCTTTTGAGCTTATATTAAAGATATAATTTAAAATTGAGTTGTCAATATCATGAGCGGTTTGCACTTTACTCATTAAAGGGAGATGTACCCCATCTAGATTCTTTCAAGTTTTAATCAATTGAAATATCAAATAACTGCAAAATTACATGTTTTTCAAGCTGTTTATCAGATGTTTTTGCATTTACATGTGCAATGAAATTAGTTGATTAAATGAAATGTCGAAAATGAATCTTTCTCTCAACTAAAATTTTAGAAATAACGAACATTTGAAAATCCTTGATGTTAGGTGAGGATGAGAGAAATGAATTAAAAATCCCACCAACAAAGATCAAGAAACAAAATCTGAATGCACCTGGTTTGCAAAAAGAAGAAGAATCTCTCTTTGATTCTGCAACAATTGAAACCGAAACTTCACCTTTCAATGTTGTTCATCCAGGCGCAGGTCTTTCAGATCAAATAATGAAGGCAACAAATCCACGATTACTTGCAATATCAAAAAAGCAAAGATCTCCAATTCATCCAGTTCGAACTGGTCAAATGCGCGCTCAATCTAAAAATATACCACTTACACATGGTGTAACATCAATGTTAACTAAGAAACCTTTATCAGATTTACCAGAACCATCTCAAAGTTTAATCGAATACAATAATAAACAAGAAAAAATAGAAGAATCATCGCTTGATTTTGATGAAGATCCTATAGCCTATTTCAGTAAGCGAAAAGATGGTCGTGGTCACCTCTTTATCTATTTGAAGTGGGCAAAAGATCCAAAATGTCCAGATTTTTCACCATATGAACTTGTAAAAACTACATATAAAGATGTTGGAAAGAATTACTTTTCTATGTCTGCAAGTGGCGTCACCCATTTTTATCCAGATGGAACAACAGAAATTTCAACTCTTGATCATTGGGCTCGGGAAGAATCAATATACAAATCTATACGAAAACTACATACCTTCAAACTATATCTCTTCTGGAAACCTTTTAAAGTTTGGAAAAATTTCATCACTCAACAGCACTACAACGAAACAAAGAAGAAAATCATCAAATTCCCGTTATTCTACAACCTATCATTTGCAAGTGGCTACGTAGCTTTGGCCTCTTTAGTTGAAGAATCTGATCAAATTATCGAGAAATACTTACTTCAATTTGCCTATTCTAAGAAATACAAACTTGATGCATTCGATCGCATATCAAGTGAGAATATTGTATCGTTAGTTGAAGAATATACCCAATTCATACAAGATACAGCAACAATTGTCAATGGAATCTTTGGAATGCTTTCGGATAAAGAGCTTCTTAAAGTTACTGACCAAGAGTTTGCAGAAATTCGTCGTAAAAATCCAAATATCGGAACATTAGTCATATTAGAACGCAAAAAAGAATCAGAAAGAATCAGAAGAACAGAACAAATGGATTTAGAAATCAAATCACTCTCAAATTTCTTAAGAATGGTCGACTACATGATGCTTGAAGCACTAAGAAATGGTTGCTACAAATCATTTACTAATGCACAAAATATTATTTGTCAAGAACAATCATCAATTTTTGTTGCAGAAGTTTATTTTAATGATGAAGGAAAAGTATCATTTAATCCATCAATCGATGAACTGATGACTCTTGTATTTAATACAATGAACAAAGCTTTGTCAACTCTTGAGAACTTGCCAAGATTATTAAGACATCCTGATTTAAGACACATTTTATTGAGTGGTGATTTAGATGTCAAAAAATTACTCGATGGAGCTCCAGATTTTCCTTTGTTCGCAAGGTCATCGAACTTAATTGGAAACGTAATGGATAAGATCAAGAAAGTTCTCTTGGACTCATACAGCCAAGCAGAAACATATGCACAGATATTTAAAGAGTTTTATCCACTTTACAAACTCGGAAAAACATGGGATGTCAGAAATTTCATTGTAAAACTTGACAAATCAAGATACGATGGACCATTACAAATTGACAAGAGACCAGCTAATGAACCTGTTGATCAGTTCTTATTACATCCGGAGAATGAACCTTATATTGATTTCACAAAGGTTAGAGATATGATAATGAGATTGAAAGAAGAAGAAATAAGAGTAAGAGAAATCAGAGCAGGTGTTGTAAAAGGAGCTGTTTATATTGATAGTAAAGAATTGAGACATGTTTTGTCACCAATTCCAAGCACATCATTAAAATCATTGGAAGAAATGCTTAGAAAACTCATGGAATTAAAGATAGCTTTAGTTAATAGAGCTTTGAAAGATTACATGTTAAAACTCAAAGTTGAAACTACATCTGTTGAAATTTACACAGATTTTTGTGAACTTTTACAAAAAACAGAGAAATTGATGCCGCAAATAAACGAAGAAATCAAATTTGTTGAAAGAGTTAATGTGTTATTGCAAGAATCTGATTTCCAGACAGTTGCCAATCCATTGCCAAGAATCTTCAAACAATTCTTGGAACAAAGAGAAAGCTCTTTGAAAATCCAACAAGACCAATACAACAAATTCACTTATGTTGTTCAAAGTCTTGCAGAAAAACATTACAAATCTTTGGAAGATTTGTACTCGAAGTCTATGAATATTCCTATTACTGTTAACTCTATAAATCTTGAGGAGTTCTTAGAGCAAACAATTAAGCTGAAGAAGGTTTCTGATAAATTAATTCCTCAAATTGTTTCTTGCAACAGATTCCAGAAAATTTTGGATAAAAAATTTTCAGATTTTTCGGATTTGTCAGATTTAGAGAAAAACATCAAATTCTCAGAAGCTCTTTATAACACTGTGAAGAAGTGGGAGATCATCAATCAACAGGTCAATGAAGTTGCTTTTAATCATATCACAATGGATTCATTCAAGACAGATGTTTCGGATTTCAAAGGTTTGGTCGAACAACTAAAGAAAATTTATGAAAAAACAATTCCTATCATTAGTGAACTCAATGGAAATTATTCAACGATTTCACCAACTGTTGATGATTTAACTAAACTTTCTCAAGCGAGAATGAACACAAGACACTGGGTACAGTTGTTCCAAGATGTCGGACAGAAAGATCAATATAATGAGAACATAACAATTGCACAATTAATTAAATTTGGTATTTTGAATAATACTAAACGTATTGATGAAATAACAACACAGTCAATTGGCGAGAATCGTATAGAAAACGCTTTCCAAGCCATTAAAGCACATTGGAAAGATATTACTATACCTTTAGTTGATAATCCAACGAATGATCCGAAGAAAGTTAATTTGGCGAACACAGATAACTTGATACAAGAAATTAATGACTCCGCAATCACATTGAACGGAATGTTGAATGATAGATTCGTATCCGGAATCAAAGCGAATGTCATGGAATTGGCAAACATGATGGATACAATTCTAAGAGTTATTACAGAATGGAAAATTTTCCAGTCGAATTGGAGTTTCATTGGTCCACTTTTCCAACAAAATTTAGTGAAAAAAGTGCTTCCAAACCAACATACAAGATACCAAATCATTGAGAAAAAATGGCATAATATATGTGTCAATACATTACAAGATACAAGAATCATTGAAGTTTGTTCTTATCCAACAATTTACGAAGATTTCAAAGATTTCAATACTTCCATTGAAATTATTTTGTCATCTTTGACATCATATTTGGACATGAAACGCGAATTAGTTCCAAGATTCTATTTGTTGTCGAACTATGAATTATTGAGATTACTAACAACAACAGATTTCTCAATATTCACAAGCGAATTATCTAAAATTATGATGCACATAACAAGATTAGATTCTCAAGCATTGAATGCAAATGATTCTGACTCAGCAATGGTACAAGATGAATGCAATTTCCCAGGTACAAAGATCTTCGGCATTGCAGGAGAAGATGGAGATATATTAAACCTCACAGAAACAGTTGTTTGCAGCGGTGCTATTGAAGAATGGGTTCCTGAATTGATAAATTCGATGAAGAAATCAGTAAGAGATGCAATAACATTGAGTTTATCAAGATACGCATCAAGTTCATTGAATGATTGGATGATGACTGCTTCAACATATATAGGAATGATTACTTTGAACATTTCTTTCACAAGAGATATTGAAGATTGTTTCAATAACTTGGAAACAAATCCAAAAGGATTTCAACATTACGCTTCAAAGATTAAAAAGAAAGTTCAAGAATTAATTTCTACATTGGCCAATCCTTTATCACCCAATGATGCTCAGAAGATATCAATCATATTATCAATACTTTTGAGTCATTACGATAAAGCAAATCTTTATTCTGACAGAGCAAGTGTCAGAAATTGGAAAATTGACTTCGAAAATTGTATCGTTTATAGATACGATGCACCAACGATGAATGTCTTGATTAACTATAAGGATCATTCATGGTCACATGCAGCAGAGTTCTGGGGATGTTGTCCGTCAATGATTATGACTCCTGCAATTGAAACAGCTTTACAAAACATTTTGACATCGATGTCACAAAATTTAGTTCCTGTTTTATACGGACAAAATGCTTCAGGAAAGTCAGAATTGATTCATAGATTTGCTGCTATGTTTGGTCAGTTCATTTATCATTTCCCAGCATATACAAAGATGCCAAGAGTTTTCATAAGAAGAGCTGTTTTAGGAACAATTTTGACAGGAAGTTGGCTCCACTTTTCACAGATGAATTTATTGACATCTGATGAATTGAGTTTCACTTTTGATCAAGTTAACGCTGTGATGCTTTCTTTACAGACGAAGAACAACAAATATACAGTTGGTGATGTCAACTACCAAATTCACAATGACACATATTTCTTCTACAGCGCAACAACAGATGACAAAAACAACGATTCTTTCATGCAACATGTGAGATTGTTGTCAAGACCTGTTTGTCTTTCAATGCCTGTAGTCAAGAAATACATGGAAACTTTGTTCATCACGTTAGGATTCAAATCTGCTCATCAAAGTGCAGCACAATTGGAATCATTGATACAATCAATTTGTTCTATCTTTAATTTCAATGAAACTCCTTTGTTACATGCGAACAAAATCATTAATTCCGCTGTAAATTACTTGAGAATAATGATGCATTCTGTCAAAGTTTATTTCACAAATTACTATGACAATCCAACATTGACTGAGCAATATTGCATTTGCAGAGCAGTCCACAACTATTTCTGCCCAACATTGAACTTGTCTGACCAGGATTTGTTGATCGAAACAATGTATAAGTTCTTCCCAATGTTCGATAACGAAACTGTTTTCAAAGTCAATATCTATGGAAGATTTGACTTCCCAATGAATAATTTATGGGATTCCATCTCTAAAACTATCACAGATTATGTTCAAAACAATAATCTCATTCTTCCAATTAATTATTTAGTTGAAAGAACATATACATTAGTCCAACAAATGATGAACTTTAATTGCATTGTCATTTGCGGACCTCCAAACAGTGGAAAATCAATGATGATCAAGTTGTTGGAAGAGGTTTACAATCAGTTCACTTTGACAGCAAACATTGTTAATAACTACAAAGGAATATTGCAGTTGAAAGTCATTGATTTGTTCCATTATTCTCATTCTTGGTCAACAGTTTTTGGAAAAACAGTTGAAAAAGTTGATCCAGAAACAGGAGTAACAGAATACGAAACATTCTATGGTTTGTTACAAAACGCAATTAATCAACTTGGAACATTAGAAAAAACAAAACATAGAATATTAAGATTTGATGGCGCTGTTACTCCGAAATTTGCAAAGTTCTTGTATCAATTAGTTTGTGATAAATCATCAATCAGAACTAATTTGATGGAAAGGAATTTCACAAACAATACTTTACATGTTTTCGTTGAAACAGATTCTTTGGCCAATTTCACACCAGAATTGTTATCAAAAGTTGCAATTATTAATATGGATAATTTGCAATTCGAATCTGGAAGGTTGTCAAATTACAGATTTAACGCATTAGTTATGCCAACACTTCCATTTGATAACGCCGTATTAGATTTCCCACAAATCAATGCAGAAATCGTCAAAGTTCTTAAGAATTGTTTCGTTCAAACATCTCCGATAATTTATAAGAAAGTTCAAATGATGAATTCTCAAATGAATTTGACAGAAGCAATTGACAGAATTTGTTCAGATGTTGTCAGGTATTGTTTGGCATCTATAAAGATGTTTGGCATTGACAGCACTGATGAATTAAAGATAAGCAATGTTCTTGGATATGCTTTCTATAGATTACTTTCTTCTTGTGTTGAAGATGACAGTTTAGAAGAATTGCACAAATTAATTTTGGAGCAATTCAACATAACTTTGTCACAAAACTGGGATATTTGGGCACTTCCTGAAGCTTTCATCGAGACATTCCCAACACCATCATTGTTATCAACACAAATAACAAAGGATAACATTACTCCAATCGATTCTTCTGATCTTCAGTTGAAGCCAATTTTCACAAAAACTTCTGACGAAAAAGTACCAATTTTGCCAAGTGAAATTTCAATTGTTTTGCCACAGATTTTGCCATCAAGCAACATGATAAATTACTGCCTTAAGTACAACAGACATTTCATGATGTATGGAGATAGAAACTCAGGAAGAAACCATATTCTTAAATACATTTTGACGAAATATCCTGATATAATTCATTTGAGAATTAAATTGTCACCTTTCTCAAGATCATCAGAAGTATTGAGACTAATACAGCAAGAAACACTTATTATGTCAAGAACGTTAATAAGAACTGGTGTTGAAAAGAAGTTTTTGATCGTTTTCGACGGTTTTTCATCAGAAAATCTTGAATTAATTGAATTATTGAGAGAAATGATCACTCGCAGATCAGTTTGTTTCGGATCTAAATACGATGCTAAATATGCACAAGACATTGCTGTAAAAAACTTCATTTTCGCAATTTCTTGCCACGAAATCAAAGATTTGCCAGTGAGATTTTCTTCACTTTTCGTTCCAATCAAGATGAAGAAATTCACAGAAAACACACTTAGTATCATGTACAGGAAGCTCTTGAACACATACACCGTTAGTCCTGATTTCTTTGACTATTTCAATCCTGTTGCACAAAAAGTTTTGTCTCAGAAATATTTGAGTTATTTATTCATTTTGTCTGTTCATTCTCCAGCCAAAAAATTCGAAACAGAAGATGATAAAATGACTATGCTTTCCATTTTGTATTATGCGATGTACAATTCTTTGGAAGGATCAATAAGTGAAAGGAAACAAAAAATGAAAGAAATCAAAGAAGATTTGTTCAAAGATGATGAATTAATGAACAAATTCTTTGAGAAACAGAACCAATCTCCTTTCATGTCTCAAGCAACATTCATCTTCACACCTCCTGATTGTAACTACATTGCATCTTATGAACAAATTGATCTTGAATTCTTTAAGAACAAATTGATTTTGTTGATGAGATCTTCTGTAACTGATGAAACAATGTTTAATTTCTGTAATTTAGATTATTACATCTCTATTCCTGGAGCACATATTTCTTTGTCTTCTATTTCAAACTCAGGAAGAATGACATTGATTAATAATATCATAAATTACAGAAATTATCAGTTATACGATTTCACTCAGTCAAAAATTGCAAAAAGTGACATTTTGCCAGCATTTAACGGCGCAGTTTTTGACAACAAGATTCAGATCATTTGTGTAAGATGTTGTGAAAGCCATGATTCCAAAGAAAACTTAGAAATGATCAGAAACATTTTCGTTAACTTTAATTTCTTAGTTTTGTTCAATGACGATGAATTGAGAGATTTACTCAAAAGAATTAATCATGTTGACCAAATCAACCACGAAATTAGGTATAACACCATTGAAAAGATCAAGAGTTTGTTGAGGACATTGATAAGAATCGTTGTTCTCAATGATATTAAGAAAGAAATTCCTGGTTTCGTTGATATCGAAATGCTTTATCCAAGCAAATCCGAAATTTGCAGAAATTACATCGACGAAGATCAACTCGAACAACTTAAACCAATCTTCATCGAAATCTCTGATTATCTTGAGAAAACAGTTCCTATGTCATCGATTACTATGTTCAATGACTTCGTGAACGAGTTCAGATCATCGGCAACAGGAGTAATGAGTCGATCAATGCAGAAGAACCAAAATGTCAATACAACGATAACTTTCATTACTCGGTTGAGAAATGATTTGACAACAATTCAAGACCAAATTGAAGAAACAACTCCAAAACTAGAAAAAATGAGAACTAAAAGTGAAAACTTGAAGAACGCTTATTCAAGTAAACACGACGCAATTGATATGAGAAGATTGAAACTAAATGAAGAATATATGTTTAGAAACAAAGCTTTGCATGAAATGCAAGTAACTGTTGAAGACACAGAAAAAGAAATGAAGTCTCAGATTCCTATGGTTGAAAGCAGATACACGGAAATAGCTAAGATAACAATAGAAGATCTGAAGCCTATTTCTATTATATCTGATAATCCTCCTGATGCAATTAGAGAATGTTTCACAGTCATCCCAACTTTACTCGGTGAACCAGGAAATTACGAAAAAAGTGGCATAAAACTCATGAAAAGTGAAATTTTCGGAACTTTAATTCACGATGGAATCGACTACAACAAGGTGAGAGGAGAACATTTAGCGTTGATTACTAATCTCCTACAAATGGAATGCTTCTCCATGAGTAAATTGGAATCTTTAGCTCCTGTAATGGTTACAATCAGAAGATTCTTCGAAGCGATTGCAAAATATCATGAAAAACTCCAAGCTGTTATGGACAAGAAGATGGAGATGCAAGCCATGCAAAATGATTTCGATAACTTCAATGCGGACATGAAGAGAGAATTGGAATCAATTCACGACATCGAGGAACAATTCGTTGATGATGCAAAAGAATTAAAAGCTGTTGGACAAGACTTGGACAAACTCGAAAAAACAATGGCGACATTGAACTTGAGAAACCAAAACGCAAAGAATATATTGGAAGGTGTTGATCCTCTAGTTGAAACATGGACAAATGAACAGAAACGTCTTGGAAATCAAAGCGGAGAAGATATGACAGGAGATGTAATTTTAGTTGCAATTTATTTGTCTTATTGTGGTTGTTTGGATATAGAAAAGAGAGAAGAAGTTTTGGCTGAAATAACAAACATCTTAACTAATCACAACATATCAACATCATTTACTAATCCTCTCAAGGAAGTTTCCAATAGAATTGTTTCTCAAAACAAAGTTCGAGTTAAACATGAATTGTTGTCTCATTCTGCTTTAATTGATTTAGAACATTTGTTCTCTTTGAAGAGAACTCCTCTTCTCATTGATAGTGACAAAGTAATCTATGAAGCTTTGTTGACATCTACTGATGCTTTAGTTGTTTCTTTGTATTCAGAAATGTACGAACAAGTTCTTGCACAAGCAGCGAAAGAAGGAAAACTAATAATAATTTGTGATGTTGATAAAATGAACAGCAAATTAACTCCTTTGACATCAATCAAACCAGGACAAGAATCAACATTAAAGATCATGGGAGGAGAGAAGATTAAAACAGCTGAAGGATTCTTCCCGATTTTGTTTGCAACTGCAAAAGATGAATATGAATTAGATCCTTTATTCGCAGATTGTTTCGCACCAATAAATGTCCAGAATTCTTCAATGGATGTCGTAAAGAATAGAATCATTAGAGCGATTGTTGGCTGCAAATCCCCTGATCTTCTCCAGCAATACGATGAAACAAATGCTGCTGAGTTAGAACACCAAGTTCAGACAGGGCAAAGAGAATTCAATTTGTTGGAAATTTTCGCGAAAATTGCGAAAACAACAGATTCAGAAGGAGCTTATTTAAGCGATACAGAAGCATTGAAACCACTTCTAGAATGCAAAGCCTTATATTTCGCATCAGTCAGTGGTTCTCCAGAAGGACATTCCGTCCAAAACAAGATCAATGAAATCACTGGACCTTTGCAATCAGAAATACAAAGATTGCAAACTCTTTGGATGTGTCTTGCAAGATTTTTGCCGACATCTTCATCAATATTGACATATAAGTTCTCTGAATACGAGCAGATCATCAAGGAATGTATAACAAGAACTAAACAAGATGATCAGCTCAAATCAGAACTTCTCAACGCTGTTGTCAAATGGATAAGTCCAGGAGTAACAATCAAAGATTTGTATTTCTTCCTAACAATTTTCGCATTCCACGAAGAAGATCTTCCATGGGATGATTTAGTTGAAATTGTCGCAAACATCAACCAAGCAATCAAAACAAAGAAATGGTCTATCGACTTCAAATTACCAATGCCTGCTGTTTTGATGTTGAAAGATTGTTCATTGCCAGAATTCCATGGTTTCCTCAACCAGTTTATCCAAGAAAAATATGGAGATGTCACTCAGTATTTGAGTCCATTCCAACCAGAAGTTGCTTTAGCACACAGTGGAAATACTGCAACATTAATTCTCTGCAAAGATTATGATCCGATGCCAGAAATCTTTGCTTACGCCCAACAAAGAGCTCGTGTTGATTCTTTGGAGTGTTTGACACTTACTGATGACTCAATTGATGTTGCACGAAGAGTTATTAAATCAAGTGTTACAAGAGCAAATTGGCTTATCATTTCTTATGTCACACCTTCAATCAAAACTTCTACATTGTTAAATACAATTCCTGATTTTGTTGAAGGAAAGAATTTGGCCGCCAATTTCAGATTGATCATTATTTGCAAATGCATTGATCATTTGAGTCAAAGATTGTTAACATTCTGCAAGAAGATGGTTCCTGAAGAGATGCCATCAGCAAGATCTATTGCAACTAAATTGTTGCAATCACAAATCCAGAATCTTCGAAATGCAACGAAAGTTAAACCAACAAGAAGATTATTCCATGCTGGTTTATTAACATATATTTCTTTGTTGACAAGATCTTTTGTTCCTCCATTAGGATTCCAGAAAGCTCCTCAACTTTCTCCAAACAACTTCTATGAATTGTTTAGAGAAGTTACACAAAGATATGTTGATAGAATGGACACAGTTCCTTTGAACATGGTCAACATGAGAACAGCAATCCAAGACACTTGTTTCGGAGGAAATTCATTGTCTCCAAGCGACAGAAGAGTTGTTAGAGCGATTTTAACAACAATTATGCCGTCAGCATGTCTTGAAGACAACTTCAATTGTCTCAAAGATATTTCAACTCCAGCTCCTTACCAAACTCCAGGAGATGGTCCTTTGCAACAATATCAAAACCAACTTGGTTTGTTGCCTTACATAACATCACAAGAATTAATGTTTGTACCAGATAAATGTGCAAATCTTCTTTTGTCGATAAAACTTTCCAAATTGTTCTCAGAACCATTCATCAAAATTGGAAATGTTCAACAGTTATCAGAAGAAGAAATTGATAAAAAGAAAGAAGAATTTGTTAGAAATTTGCCATTAAAGATTGCAGGAAATGGAGAATCACCAGATACACCAATGAAAGCGTTTTGGGCAAGAGAATCATGTTTGTTCAATGAGTTGATTGACATGATATTAAACGAAATCGAAAACAAAGATTTGACGAAAGAATTCACAGAAAATGTTATTCCAAGTAATTGGGATAACAACTCATATTCATTTGATCAATTCTGGAAGTTATTGATCAGAAGACATGATCTTGTATCACAGTGTCTCGCAGGAAAAGATTTACCACAACAAATCGATGCAGAACTCATTGCAAGACCAAAACAATTCCTTACTGCTTTATCATCACAAAGAGGAACTCCAATTCAACTTTCTTTCAACCAACATCCAATAGAAGAAATGAGTATCATTGGTTTGAAGGGATTTAATTGCAGAGTACAAGGTGATATCCTTATTACTACTAATGATATCTTTACCAATCTTCCTCCTGTTTATATTATGCCTCCAACAATTCAACCTGGACAGAAAACTTATGTAATTTCTGTTTACGAAAATCTCGAAAGTGGCGATTCAGAAATTATTGCTGAAATAGAAAGTAGAACTGATTCAACAGACAGAGCTTGGCTTCTTAGCTCTGCAGCAATATATTGGCACTTACCTCCTCAATTATTGTAATTATTGTATTTTTTATTTATGTTTGAATATTATTTTTTAAAAATATTTTTATGTTATTGTTTATTTATAAATATTCTTCACAAGGTCTTTAAATCATATTTTTGATATTGTTTCACCTCGGGAAACATTTGAGAAATCTCATTGAATTTCATTAAGTTAATTAGCATGATACTCCTTAAAATTTTATTTTATAATCCATAACTGACCTTAAGTGCTTTAATCAAAGTAATTTGTGCTTGGTTTCAAACTAGATTTGCGCAAAAGATGTTGTAATTATAACTAAGATATAATTTTGTTAAATATGATCTATCTTTGATAATTTATTGAATAATTCATATGAAATAATCTAAAATATTTGAATTCAAAATTATGAATTCTAAAACATATTAAATTACTGAATTTTCTCAATTTTTGAATGCCGGCCATAAAATACGAAAACTTATTGACTTTAACAAAATAGTTTATTTCAAGAACGCATAGTAGTATATGTTGAAGGGTTTTGTGACTTTTTTTGTAAACGTAAGAATTCATACAATATCGAGTGATTTTGTATCATTTTTTTTAACATATGAAGTAAAAAATGTATGATTCTTACGGTTTTTATTCTTACGTTTTTGAATAAATCAAGATTTAAAAAATTTTCAAAATTGTAAGACATTTACACTAAACCCATACATAATGAAATAAAAAAAATAAAAAAATAAAAAAATAAACTTTAAAAATTCATGTCTTACATTTTTGAATAATTTATTTTTTAATTTGTATGAAAATGAGTGGATCAAGATTCGTAACCGTCAATCAATTAATGGATGCTCTTTCACCAATTCTTGAAAATGTTAAACAAGTAGATGTTTATTTCGATGATTATGTAGAAAGTTTATATTATAAAGGTAAGTTTAATATTAAACTTATTGCTTTTGCATTTGATAATAAATTAATTGAAAATGCAAAAATTTGGGAATTAATTCCAGATATTGAATATATAACAAATATTAATGATAAATGGTTTAAACAAATTCCAACCACAAAAGTTCTTTGTAAATTAATGATCAAAACTGAGGAAAAAGAATTTAACGGGTTTAAATATCATCCAAATAAAGTTTCAGAACTAGAAAATGAAAAACTTCAGAAAAAATAAACGATAGACTTTCAAATGATCGTATTGAAAAAATAAATAAACTAGCAGAAGTTGCATTTAATAATGAAATATTTGATGAATATAACCTTGAACTCAGTGATGGACTTTAAGTCCTGGGCACTTTGTGCCTTGGCTTTAAGGACCCGGGCTCAACGAGTCATGATTTATGAAATCAATAATTTGATTTATTCGCTCTTCAATAATTTCTATTCTTTTTGTTAAATCATCAATTTTCATTAATGAGGTGATTCTTGATTGAGGAATAGATTTCAAACTAACCACTCCTTTTATTTTTGAAATTTTGAATCCATCAACTTTAAACATTTTATTCAATTTACATGTTGTCAATTCTTCAAATAATTTTTTATTATTAGCATAATAGTCATTAAATTCATCAACAGATGAAAAAATTTTATTTCAGTAATTGGTTTAACAACGTTTATTTTTTGTTGAACATTTTCACTTTCATTTATTTCTTCCTCCTCTGTTTCATTTATTTTTAAAATTGGTTTCATTTATCATTAAATAAAAATTAGAATATAAGTGATGAAATATATTTTTTAATTAATATTAAATCAGAAATGGCGGCAGGATTCTTTAAAAAATTATGGGATGGAATTAAGAAAGCTGCAGGTTGGGTTTATAAAAAGGTTATTAAACCTGTTGCAAACTTTTTGGCACCAGTAGCGAAAACGGCAGGAACTATCATAGGTGGAGTATTAGGTACTAAAGCAGGTAATCCGGCGATGGGAGCACAAGCAGGTAACGCAATTGGTGGAATTGCTGAAGGAATACTTAATAAAATAGGGGGTAAATAGTGGAAAAATAAATAAATATTATTTTTATCTTAGTATTGGTTGTAGTCTTTGATAAACTTTTTCTCCTTTATTTAAAATTTCTCTTATTGGGGCAGCTTTTGGTGTTATTGATTCAGCAACGTCACTAATTGCTTCTTTATTCTTAAATATCCAATTCGCTCCTTTCTTCATTGTTTCCCAAACTTTATGCGCTCCTCTTTTTACTTTATCCCACAGTTTCTTAAAGAATCCTGCAGCCATAGTTGATTATTTCATTAAAATTAAAAATTCATTTTATTTTAATTTTGATTTTTTATTTAATAATAAATGACGACTAACTATTTGGTGCCAAACACTAAACCAATTAATGGAAATGTGTTTCATTCATTCGAAAAGATAAATGAAATATTTGCAAAGAATGACGGAAGAAGATATTATAGAGAACTTGAAAGTTCATGCTATGACTCTGATGCTCCATATTTTGATGATAAACAAACTCATTTAAGAATTACAAATCCGGCTCATGATGTGAACCAATTAGGTGACACATATATTAAACGCAAAGTTAAAGCAACTCTAGTTTCAAATAAAGCTTTCACATGTGATGCCGCTTTTAAATGTATGCGTTTATTCGTTGGTTACAAATCATCAAATCAAAGCTTTAAACAATTAGAAGTAGAAACCGAAAGAGGTGATGCCGGTTATCTTCAGATGGATTGCGCCCGTGAATCTTTCGCATTTGCAACATATAAACCAAAATCAGAAAGGAAAGTTAAAAAGTTTGTTCATTCGTTATATAATAATGTTCAAAAATATGATAACTCAGTATGTGGTAAATATATTGACCCTTCAGAAGTTTTCAAGAAAGCAAATGAAGAAGTTGATATCACTTTTGATATGATTATTCCGGTAAATGATTTGTTAGCATTTCAGGCGTTCGATGATTATCCTAAATCATTTGGTGAAATCATTCTTAAATATTATGTTTTCAGGGATACTTTAGTATTTTGTCAGGTTGACCCGTTAAGAGTTGCTGATTTACAAAATTACGTTTATGAAAAGATAACTGATGAAAATTATGAAAAGATTATGAATCATGTTTATAAATATGATCGCAAATTCCAACAAATCGGACTTCCTGCCAAATTAATTACAAGCTTAGCCGCTACATCTGCTGACGCAACAGTTGATGACGTTATTATTTCATGCACAAAGATGGAAGTTTTAGAGGATAAATGCATTACACCAGGATACGGTTTAATTGAAGAATCAGTTAAAGCAATACCACGTTTATTCAGTAAGGAAGATCCATTCATGATTCCAGCTCAACATATTGACGTTCGTTCACTAAATGGAGGTTGCATCACTCCTGAAGGTATCAGTTCAGATTTCTCATACGCTCTTCATAATGTTACAGATGTTGTGTTAGCATTTCCGAAGAATGCAATGCAAAGAACGTTTTAGAAAATCCAATGCTTCGAGGTCTTCAGGTCACTATAGATTCCAGAAACTTCCCCGATCAAGCGATGACCACAGTGGGCGACATATTCTTTACACGTATGCTTCAAGCTTCTGATTTAGATGGAGTGAATGAATGCACGGAAGAATACGAGGACTCATTAACTAGACCACTGAATGATGATAATGGTGCCATTAGCTAGAACATGGAAAGACCAAACTTCATTCTTATGCACTATTCCAGTTCAACGTGATGGAGCGGGTATATTCTTTGATGGATTAGAAACTTTCAACTCACAAGTTACAGTACAAGTGAAAGCTTATCCAATCATTCAGGGTGTAAATGACACTTACTGTTCAAAGGTGACAAATCCTCCTCAGGTTTGGTTTACTAGGACTACGTATTGGACATGGACACCGGATGAAGGTTTGAAATATCATCCAACAGGTACACCACCACAGTATAGAAGTTCATATGATGAAATATTGATGAATAGAAATGTATAAAATTATAAATTTATTTTTGATTAAATGGATTTAAATTCTGAAGAATTAGCGGGAGTATATAATACATACGTAGATGATATGATTAATGAAGCATTGAGTGATAATAGAAATGCTCTATCTAAGGAAAAATTAATGAAAATTCCATATTCTGAATGTTACTTAAATTCAATCACTGCAGCAATTGGTAAACAAAATAAAGGTAAAACATTAACGATATTAAAACAAATTATCATTATTGCTAACACTTCCCCCCATTCACATGTGTTAATTTATATCAACCGTTCAGGTTCACCTTCAGATGATACATTTGAATCTTTAAAGCATTTAATCAAAATTCCAATTATTTATTTATCACAAGAAGAAGCAGAAGATTATTTAAAAAACTTTTTAATGTATAAAGAATTATATAATACAATCAAGAAGCAAGGATTAGAGGATAAAATTATTGATAAACAACGGGATGAATTATTTGAAACACTTTCTATTTCAAATTTTGATAGAGAATTTTTGCATTCACTCATTTTTCTAGATGATGCGGTGAAATCAAAACTAATAACAAATGAGAAATCATATTTTAATCAGTTATTAACTCAATGTCGACACATTCAGTGTTCATTCTTCATGGCTGTTCAATACTTCAAAGCATTAAGCACAAACATTAAATCAAATCTATCAACACTTTTCATTTTCAGTGGTTTTAGTCGTCAACAGTTGAACGTTATGCTTTATCAAGTGAATTTACCAATGAGCATTAATGAACTTTACACACAATATCAACAATTAGGTGAACATGGAAAAATAATAGTTGATTTAAATAAAGGATGTGTTAAATTTGATTAACTTTTTATAATTAATTTTTATTTTTTATTTATAATTAAACATGACAGAAATAGCAAATCTTTTACAGGTTCCATTAAAACAGGGGACAAACAAAAAGGGGGTGTGTATAATAGAACTATGAAAGTTCCAGACGGAATGAAAGAATTAGTTCATATTGTTGCTGGTCTTCAAAAAGATGTAAAACAAATGAGAAACGTTTTAACATTACCAGAAGCTCAAGCATATGCCAAACGTCAAGGTCCAAATTGGGAAGCACATGA